AAATTCGGTAACATTTTCCAGTGACTCTGTAAGCTGAGTCAGTTAATGATCAAGTGTAGGCTCTTTTAAGAGCAGCATTTAAAAGAGGTGTGGGAATTAGGGAAGCAGTAAGTAAACGGCTGGGTGGAGGCAGAGCCTGGGCTCAGCGAGTGGGCCTCCCCTGCCTCTGTGTTCTGCGAGCTCAGGCCTTAGAAGCAGCAGGGGGCAAGTCAGAACTGCACCGCTTACCGTACGGACTCTCATGTCTCTGTTATACACCAGCCCTGCAACGAAAACAAGGCAGGGTTTCCATGAGTCAGAAGAGAGGGAGCTGCTCTGCCCCCTCTGCCCCTCACCTCGGGGTCTGCCCACGACTTTTTGAGATAAGAGGAGCAGGATTCATCCTGGTATCTCCTTTCCAGATGTCTTTTTCTTTACCCATTCCAACCTCGGTTGCTGGGAAAGGAGAGCTCTGCCTCCAGACCTAATTGATCCCCCTCAGGCTGTGGAAACTTGTATCCAGGGCACCCCGTACCCCATGGAAGACGATGGCTGTTGGCACCGCTCCCTTCCTACACCCGGTGCTGAGCTGGTACTGTGATGAGCCCTGTCTCCAAGCAGCCCCTTACCAGCGGGTGTCTCAGTTGCTCCTCGCTGCAGCAGGATCGCCCCACCCTCAGCTGTCAGATGTCTGTTTGCTTCTAACAGCCTGGAGGAGACATGGCAGAGAGATTGCGCTGCTGAAAAAGGGAGGAAGCGAAGCGAAAATGGCATGACAAGGTGACAGCGAGCTCTCAGAGAAGAGCAGGAAGCTGGCTGCAGAAGCCAAAAGACTTGCTGAGATTCCAGAGGACTTGAAAGGGCAGAACAGGGACAGTTTCACCTTATTGTTCATGCACCCATAGCTGTCCACGATGAGGGCAGGCAGCAAACGAAAAGACAGATGAGAACCCACCTCTGCAATGCTGCTTCAGGGCTATGTGCTTTGGGAGCTTGCTGCCTTGCCTCTAGGCTCAGTAACCTGTCGATAACCATCCGTTTTGATTTCAGCCACGCCTCAGTGTCCTAAAACAAAGCCACGTAGAGCACAGGAGTAACCTCCCTCTTCTGAGTCATTTTACCCCTAATCAAGAGGGTAGAAAGGGGTATTTCACCCTTCAACATCTCTCGTAACTCCTACCAGTTACAGACATCGTATTAAAACTGCCCACTCCTGGGGGAAAGGGAACAGCAATACATAACAGGCAAGGTAGAAGCTGAAAACCTATACAGCAGTGCTTGAAGTTGTTAACTTTTCACCCTGGCAATCTCTCCTACTCCCTCCCACTTCACTTGTGAGCTGAGGACAAGTGTCCAAAAGAACAAGGGAAATCTGCTACCTTTTGTCTCTCTGACCCTGTGCCTCTGTCCCCCCCTTCTGCCTCCCACCCCCCAGCACCTGGGAGTCATGCTGGCAGTTTGGGAAAGCAGCTTTATGTCCTGCCAGGAACAGAAAAAGAAATCTGCCAGTCTTGCATCCAGGTCACCCAACAAGCTGTTGGCAAAAAGACAACCTTGCAGCTGCTTGGCCAGACGTTCCAGTTCCTTTTGCACACAAGCACAGTACAGACAAGTGAATTTCAATGCTACGGGACTACGGGATGCTCAGCACTACCAAGTGTTCTTCAAGGGCCACCCTAAGCAGGGACCACGCTTCATGCAACAACAAGCACGTCTGTGCCTGCCAAAAGGACTGGTCACATCAGTGCTTTCCTTGGACAATGATGTAAAAAAAAAAACACATCTTTTATTTAATAAAAGGGAGGGGCACAACACGTGAAATCTAACCTCTGGAGCTAGCAGAAAGCCGAGATTTTCCAGCAGGATCAGCTTGTCCACCATCTCAGGATAAAGGAACGAGAACTGAGGAAAGATGAAACATTATGAGACAAAGCAAAAAGCAGCACACTGAGTGCTGTCTTCATCCTGTTACACTGGAGAGGAGTCAGAGAATGGCCTCTCCTCCCCTGAGATCCAAGTCTCACACAGTCTGCCCCTTTATTCCCCTCCCATTTGTTGTTCCAGCTGCAAAAGTCACAAACCCCATGAAGAAAGAACGTTTCACTCACCATTCCTGCCACGGCCCCACCTGCAAAGCAAAGAATGGTGCTCAGTTATAAGCAGGACACCCCCGGTAACAGGAACTCCCCTTCCCCACACAGGAGCTGCCTTAGAGGCACAAATGCACCTCGTGCCGAGGCACAAAGCCCAGGCTACAGAGCAAAGTTCTTCTGGCAGGGAGAACACAAGGAGAGAAGGGGATGGCTGGCCTGCCACATCCCCATCTCCCTCTCAGGCAGCAAAGGTAAGGAAGAGTTACCAGTTAAAACACTACTGCCAGCAGGTACAGAGCAGCCCTGGGGAACCAAACCCACATCAAGGACACAGAGTCCTGGTTCCCCTCAGCAAGCCCTGTGACCCACCAAGACCCTGCCTGGAGGCCACAAGGCCACAAAGCCCAGGGACAGCAGGAAGGACTGCTGTGACTACTGCTGTGTTAAACCAACCCATCCCTGTTCCCTCCTGGGAGTTCAGGAAATGCCCACAGGGAGAGCCACGCTGTTTGTACCACAGCGTCTTGAAAACAGAGGCATTTTAAACAAGGGTGCAGATTTTCAAATCACTCAAGCAAGAACCCGGTACTTGACACAGTATAATAAATATTCCAACCCAGCTCCTAGCAGCATGCCTTGTAAATTAATTATCTACTCATATTTCCGTGAATCTCACAGCTTACAAGGACAAGAGCCACTTACCCATACTGTGACCCATCAGGGTGAACCGTCTCCACTGCAATGCTAAGTGGCAACAGACAAAAACAGACAGTGCTGCGTTAGAAACCGGAGCAGCAGCATTTTGCTGCTTCTCGACCACCACAGGCCCCTTCTCCCAGGAGGGCTTCTGCAATGCTTAATTTGCTTCCCAACCCAGAAATGAGCTGGCTAAGTCGGCCGGTTTTCAAGAAAAAAGCACATCCACCACCTCATTTCCTTGGTAGTTAAGTCACACAGCTCTTGAGCACTCTCTGTGTGGCAAACTACAGCACGTTCCCACTCTGCCAGACACCAGAGTGGCAATAACCAAAGGTGCCTGATACACGGAGACCCTGACAAAGCACCCTGCTGCAGGGCGTTCAGCAGGAGCAGAGAGGATGCTGAGCCAGGTCTGCTGCCTGGGTGAAAGGAGGATTATTCCAAGTTTAGTGAATTGGGCTCTTCAGACCATTTTTAGGGCACTATGAGAGGCTCATGGGAAAATAGCACGTAATCAATGCCGCCATCTGAAACATACCTCACTGAAAGATGTGTTTTTATTCAGTTTGCATTATCAGAGCACCAGCCAACATCAGAATGGGGAGAAGCAAAGGGAACTGACCCCTCTCCCAGCAGTAAATGCTGCCTACTTCTTCCCAAGAGCAGGAATGACAGAGCACCCCCTGCACTAACATCCCTCTAGGGTCCCTTAACTACCCACCTGCTGCGACCCGGCGCACATCGCTCACATAATCCAGAAAATGGTAGGGGGAGCCTGCAGGTCGGTGGGATGACAAACCATGGCCAGAAAAATCCATCGCCACGTAATGGCAATCTGCAAGGGAGAAAGCATCAGGTATGTGGCCCTGCAACACAGCAAGAGCCATCCCAGTGAGCCAGACCCACCTTTGGGGAGCAGAGGGATGAGCCTGTCGAAGGTGTTGGCGTTGTCCAGCCAGCCGTGCAAGCACAGCACAGGGTGTCCCTCTGGGGATCCCCAGGCCTTGGCTGCCAAATGGCCCCAGGGCACGGGAAACTTCACCTCTGAGAACATGCCCAAAATAAAGTGCTCTCAAGCAATGTCCCCTGTGAGCCACGTGCTTGAAACAGGTCCCAGGGAGCTTGTTAATGGCCCAGAGCTCTCTGAAAAGAGTAATACAGGTCTTTAGTAACTCACCAGGCTTCTGCGGTCTTAATTAGCAGCTTGCTGATTTATAGCTCCCCATTTAACATCCCGAGCTGCCATTCCTGCTCGCCTGCCTGGGGACTCCCCCTCCCAGCACGTACCAGCACCGCTCCTGGGAAGAAAGCAGCTTTCCCTGCGCAGGAGGAGAAAAACTCCCCCCGTGACTCCGCAGCAGCTGCGACCTGACCAGAGGGCACGAGCGATCTGGCGAGAGGGAAGCAAGCAGAATTTCCCCAGCAAGGAGTCAGGCACCTGCCTCGGACCAAGAAGGCAATTTTGGGAACGAGGAGACTGTCTTCAGTATTAGATTATTGACACCTTCCCGTAGCTGCCCTGGCAGTCCCTGAGCTACATCTCACCTTTCACTCAGCCCCAGGCTTTGCAGTGAACCCCCCAGCACTGCCCAGCCTCTGGGGTTCTTCCAGGGCTGTCCCGAATATCCTCCCATCACCCCAAGCCCATCTGGTCCCTGCCCCCCAAACCCTGCCCCACTTCTCTCACGCTGTGTCCCCTTCCCCAGTCCCTCCTTTGGGGTTCACGTCCCCTCACGCTGCCCCCTGGCACCCTGCTGCAACCACCCCTCACCCCGCCCGCTGATGGCCGGCTCCGACCCCGTTTGCCCTCGCCGGGCCTGATCCCGGTAGCTACGGACGGACAGACCGAGGGACAGACCGACAGACCTCGGACCTGCCTCCTCCTACCCCGCCACCCCCGACCCCCGCAGCCCGGGGGGCTCCGTGTCCCGGTTCCAGCCGAGGGCGCCGCGGGTGGAGGCACGGCCCCGGCTGCCTTCCTACCCCTCTGTCCGCTCGGGACGGCGGAGCGAGGCCGCGGCAGGAGCCCGGAGCCCGGTGAGCGGAGGCGGCGGGGCGGCCCCGGCTGCCCCGCACCGCCCCGCGGCCCGGCGGCCCCCGCCTCCCGTCCCTGCCCCTGCCCCGCCGCCGGCACGGGGCGGCCGCGGCCATTTTGGTGCCTCCTCAATGCGCTCCCGCAGCCGCGGGCAGGGGGTGGCAGCCCCGAGGGGGGCTTGGGGCACACGGGGGGCAGGGGACAGGAGAGGAGGTCTTTGGGGGCTGAGGAGTGGGCTGCGGGGCTGGCCTCCCCAGGGTGTTAAAGCCAGAAGGGGAACCCCGCTCACTGTGCGGTTACTGTAAATGTGGCCCGTGGTACGGTGCCATCAGGCTCACTGATGTGGAACGTTCACTTTGTGGAACGAGGGTAACAAAGGTCTGAGGCGGCGATCCACCTGCTGGGGCTGTAAGGAGCCTCAGCCATGGAGGTGCTGTTGCATCCCTGACTGCCTTCGCAAGGCACATGACGGCTAGTGGGAACTGCCTGTACTGCAGCCTTACAGTGTGAGGCGTTTAAATGTTGCCCAGGAGTATCGTAGGGACATCAAACCAGCTCTGTGCTTCACACCAGCGCTGGACTGACATCTCTTTCTGACAGATAAACTCTTCTGAGCTCTGCCATTTGTTGTAATCACACTGCTTCAGTTGCAGCACATCACAGACAGCACTGCACGAGCACCTCTACTCTTCTACAAGAGCAGACCCCTCTCAGCCCGAGAGATTTCCACACAGTTGTTTTTATTATTTGCCCAGAAATGGGTTGGCTATGTAGACCAGGCTTCAAGAAAAAGTTCACGGAGCAGTCAATACCTGAGTACCCTTGTGAATGCTGCTTGCTGGTGCCCAGCATTCCCTCTAGCAGTCTCTCAGGCCTAACACCAACCACAACCGTTCGCCTTCACTCAAGGACCCGGGCAGCCAAACGAGGAAAAGTCAAACAGTGCTTTGAGCAGTGGGACACCTTGCTGGGACGACTGGAGAGGACAGAACAAATGTCTGTTCTTAGGGACTCATTTTGGTCTTGGTAATTGAAATCTCTGTGCTCAGTTCAGCACAACAGTCTCCTAAATTGCACAATTCATTTTTAGAAGAGCCTGTGAAGCTTGAAAGAAACCAACACAGAAGCTTACAGCCCTGTTTCTCCTGCCTATCTCAAACACATCCTGGCAAAGTAGGCTCTGTACCATGGCAGAAAGGTAAAAAGCTTGGGGACCCATTGCACAGTAGAAATGAAAGTGCTGTGCAGCTCACAAACTCCCCTCCAGGTGAACCATTAGAAGGGAAATCAATGTGAACTCCTTTAGGTTTGGAAAGTCTAATGCTTTGCTTTTTCTTAGGCCTTCTGCATCAACGAGAAGCGGGCAAGCAGACCACAAGTACTGGGGAACCATACAAAGGGAGAGAGGCCACAGGATCACCTACAGCTTCTTTCCTACAGCTGTCAGAGGTGGGTGTCTGATTACAAAAGGTGAAAAGCAAGAAATAACTTGGCAGAACAGATATGTACTCAATCATTGCTGCTGCCATTATGGAGGGCAGGGCCTTCCCGTGAATTGCTAGGATTTGAACATCAGAAGCCGTCTAAAAGCAGTAACTCAGGCAGTGGCTACAAGGGGCTGCTCACAGGCAGTGGCTGGCAGGCTTGCAGTTCTTCTGTCTGTGACAGCTCCTGAGGAAGGAGACCCTGTGTCAGGAGCAGGAGTGATGTGGACCCCTCACACAAATCCCCACAGTTGGTGGGACAACACGCCATGGGCCAGGAAAATCTATTGCCTCATAACTGCAATCTGAAAAGTAGAGAGCATCGGGCATGCAGACCTGAAGCACGACACACAGCACATCCTTGTGTGCCAGAGTCATCTCTGGGGGACACTGGACCAAGCCCGTCGAAGGTGTTGGTGTTGGCCAGCCAGCCATGCAAGCACAGCACAGCGTACCCCTCTGGAGTCCCCAGGTCTCAGCTGCCACATGTTCCAAAGGCATGGGGAATTTCACCTCTGAGAACTTTTGTGCCTGTAGGCGACATCCTTTGAGAGCCACATGCTGAGAGCTGTTTCCAGGGAGCTCATTAACAGCCTAGAGCTCTTGACAGAGATTGTAGGTAGGTAGTAGTTATCAAATTTGCTTATCAGACAGCCCTGACCTCCATTTAACACAAATTTTCAGGCACAAGCCTTGCTTGGGTGATCCTGCTCTAAATGCTTGCCCTGCAGGTATGTGCATTGCCACTCACAGGTCTTGGACCCTCTCCCCCATCGTCCTGCAGCCAGAAGTCATCCTGCGTCAAGCAGCCAGAGGAAACTGGGCTTTTTGCTTTGAGTCACAGAGATGACCTCTAGGTGTTGGGTGGGAAGGATGGCTCCTCTCGTGAATTCTGACTCCCATGTCTTGCATTCCTACTCACTAGGGTAGGAGGCTCCATCAACAGGAACCTCAGGGAAAAGGGAAAATTCCTTACAGAAATCACCAGCAATAGATGATGTGGGATAGAAGGGTATTCCCAGGGATGAGCAACATGTTTCTGGTAGGATGGTCCCATCTCAAATTCCCAAATGGTTACTCTTGCTTCCCCCTTGCCAGCCATTCTAGCTGTGCTTCCATTTGCCTGGGAGAGATGTTTTCACCTCTCATTCCCTCCCCACCTTTCCTATCTCCACTGCAGGTAGGCACAAAACACCTGGCACAACTGTCGGATTTATGATTCAGAAACAGATTTCCCCATGGGAGCAGCACAGAGAGAAGCCTTTTCCCAAACAAAGACAGCTCTTCCAGAGAGGACCTTCTTTCAGAGCTGGAGCTCCAAGTGAAGAAGGTTTTACAATGCACTGGGATGCAGCCCTGGACCCTTCCTTAGCAGCATCACTGTCACCCTATAATTCAAAGGCAGGTTGTTGAGATTTTTTCCAGGTCCCTCATACCCACTCTTCTCCACTCTAGCAGTGCTGTTTAGCCAGTTTGAAAGAGCAGCCCAGCATCCTGCAACACTGCATCTCTTCCCTCTGACACCGCCTGGCAAACCATTTCCCACGAGGAGAGGACTGTTGAGGATGCATGGCAAAATTTGGATTGCTCACAGAATTTATTTTGCAACATCTACTTCTAAGAAGTGCTGCAGGCTACTGCAGTGGCTTTGCTGCCGGTGTGGGACCAAATTAGCCTTCGCTTGGCAAGGTGCTGAGGTGTTTCCTGGCTAGTAAGAGGCTGGTTTTGCATGAAAGGCTGGGAGTTAGTTTGAGATGTCCCATGCACTTAGCAAAGGATAATTTAACCTCTGTGTCCTAGCAGAGGAGGAGGAGACTTGCAAGTGTAAATCTTGGGACATGCAAAGCTGTTATGCTCTGCTGACTTGGAACAGCATTGATCAGTTTGTGCTAGCTGCAGATCTGGTGAGGAAACTTTAAGTACAGCAGATTGATTGCTACCAAGGGACAAATTCCCCATAGCTATTCGGATTCAAGCTTTAAAGTGCTGGCATATTGATCTATTTATGGTGATTTATTAGTTATAGCCCTGTACCCCAAACTCTCTCACACAGTTATATGAGTAAAAAAAGCATCCTATTGCTAGCTTAACTCATTTTTTTCTTCCAGTGGATAGCACAACCAGTATATAAAGCCCCCCACTGGTTGGGCAGCCCACAGTGGGGCTGGGAGAAGCAGAGAGGCACTCAGTGACAACAGGGAAGGCCCTGCTCCTCAGAGCATGGATCCCTAATGGGCCCTTGGAGATACTCCCATGGAGTCACAAGGGTTTAAATGTGCTGCCCACATGGGAAGAGTTGAGGCAGGACATGAATGTCCTGCAGCCCAAGAAGTTCTGCCACCTCTGGGCTCTGCTTGACATTTGTTGCATACTTTCCCCTTAATTTTCCCTATTTTTCTAATAATTTTTGCTGATATGAATGAGTTCCTGATGCCTGAGCTGCATCAAGAGAAGCATGGCCAGCAGGGTGAGGGAGGTGATTCTCCCCCTCTCCTTTGCTCTCATGAGACCCCACCTGGAGTGCTACGATCAGCTCTGGGGCCCCCAGCACAAGAAGGATGCAGAAGTGTAGAACAAGTCCAAAGCAGGGCCACAAAGATGATCAAGGGACTGGAGCATCTGTCCTACAAAGAGGGGCTGAGGGAGTTGGGGTTTTTCAGCCTGGAGAAGTGGAGGCTCCAGGGAAACCTTATAGTGGCCTTCCAGTGCCTAAAGGGGGCCTACAGGAAAGCTGGGGAGGGACTCTTTATCAGGGAGTGCAGTGATAGGACAAGGAGTAATGGCTTTAAACTAAAAGAGGGTAGGTTTAGATTAGACATTAGGAAGAAATTATTTATTCAGAGGGTGGTGAGGCCCTGGCACAGGCTGCCCAGAGAAGCTGTGGATGCCCCATCCCTGGAGGTATTCAAGGCCAGGCTGGGTGGGGCTTTGGGCACCCTGATGTAGTGGAAGGTGTCCCTGCCCATGGTGGGGGCGTTGGAATTAGATGACCTTTAAGGTTCCTTCCAACACAAACTATTCTATGACTGCGAAATAGCTGCGAACATATTAAGCTCAGAAAAGGCTGTGATGCTTTAGGTTGTTCTCTCTCGCCTGGCTCGAGGCACACACAAGCCTGTTGCACTCCTTGTCCCAGAGCTCTCCAGCCCTGCAGAAGGTAAGAGAGACAAATATACGCTGGCTCTTCACCCACCACAGGCTGGAGCCAACGTGATAGTTTAAATGGAAATCTTTGGCAGCTTAAGTTAATAAGCCAAGCTACGAGTGGTTGAAAAAGTGGTGAGCATCTGCTCCAGGGATTAACCTGCAGCAGAATTTGGATAGCGACGATGCTGGAGTGTTAAATCATCCCCCCGTGAATCACTGCTATTCAGCTGGCAGCAGCCTCAGGCACACACCATGCATCAGCTGCAAGTGGTGCACATTTGTATTACTTTATTTGCAACTAATGAAATAGCTAGAAACATTTATTGCATATAAATTATATATGAGCACCCATCATACAAATAAACTCTTTCCTGTCTCAGCTTTCCACTTCCTCCTTAATCAGAAAGTCCTTTATATTTAGGATTCAGATGCAGGAGTCCCTGCTGGTTCCCATCCCTTGGGCCTGTTTTGGTTAACTAGTGAGAAGAGCTGCTCTCCAGGTCTCCACAAAAGCTGTACTTGCTGAGAGATTGAGCACCTATTTTGATGTATTTAATTGAGGGGGAAGAGGAGGAGTTTCTATCCAGCTCTTGTCTAGGCTTAACCCTCCTTCACTTTGAAGATCTGGCAGATTCCCCATAAGCTGAGAAGAAATAATAGCAAAAAAACGAAGTAATCTGACACTTGTAATTACAGGCCTACCAGCTCCTTATTGACCTCAGACAAAATACGGAAATGTTGCATACAAGAATCATTAAAAGCGAGAGGAGATTTGTAGTTAATACTGAATCTTGTGTTTATGGAAAAAAATCCATAAAACTGAGTTGGTAACTTATGGAAATGCAGGTTTAGGTTATGGATTTGGCTAATAAACACAAAGGCTGTTGTAATAAGGTTCCAGCAAGGAATTCGATGTGGTCTTAACTTTGTGTTTTGATTAAACGAACAAACAAAAACTACAGTGATACCAAATTAACAAATTTTGTCATAAGTGGATTGAAAGTTTGCTAGCTAACATGCCTAAATGTTGAAGTAAGTAGAAGAGTATAATGTGTGTTTTTGAAACAGCCCAGTGGTAAGTTGACATGGGCCCCACTTGTGGGCTGGCAGCAATGTCTGTGGGAGAAGGGACTCAGGTGAAGGCTTTACTCATGGTGTGGGAGCTACTGAATGGGAGCTTGCACTGCTGCAGTTGCAAAGGCTAATTTGATCCTCAGAGGTGTGAGCAGGGAATGTGGAGCAGGTGGAATGAGATTATATTGCAGGAGATTGTATTGCATCTGCTAATTCTATGGTTGTGACTGTTGGCGTGAAAGAATTTGCCATTTTAACATCTACAATGCAGGGAGGAAGTTAAGAAATTGGAGAAGCTTCCTACAGGTTGGAAGACATCTTGTGGGGGAGGAGAGCTTACGACTGATATGATCAAGCCTAAATATAACTATGTGGGAATTGAATTTTTGCTCTTCTGAGAGCTGCTCGGGCCAACAATAGCACAAGAAAATAGTCTGGAGACAAGGTATACATTTTATAATGGTGAAAGTAGTTAAATACTTGAACAGTTTACTTAGGATGGTGTCAGCTTCCCTACCACTGGCAATTTTTGAACCAAGATGGGATGTTTTACAAAACAACCATAATGACACAGTCCTTTGCTATGTAATCATCAGGAAAGCAGACCAGTCTGGAACTTAGTCTAGTGCAACAGACACCACTGTCAGATGGCACCAGCCTGTGGTGTTTTTGCTACAAACACTCCTAAAATTATAGCTCATAGCTATACTCTTTCTTGTCTTCTACATTATTTTTCTTCATTTAGAGGCTCAGCTTATTCATTTGAGGAAACTCCTGCTTCTAGGTCCAGCAACCACTTTGGACCTTTCCTCAGTGTGTCTGTCTCTTGGTTTGCCCTTTCAGGATGGCTGACTGTGGCTGTTTTTGTTTGGCTTTGGGTGATGAAGCACTGGCATGGGTTTCCCAGAGAAGTTGAGGACTTTGCCTCCTTGGAGATCTTCAAAAGCCACTTGGACGTGATCCTGGGCAGCCTGCTCTAGCAGCTCATGCTTGAGCAGGGGGAGCAGACCAGTCGGCCTCCAGAGGTCCTTAACCATTCTGATTCTGGGAAAACCCTGAAGGAGGTGGGCAGAGGTCAGGATTTGGTGCCTGTCTCCTGTGAGTGGGGCTCAACATCACCTCAGTGTGGGGGAACAAGTCTGGGGAAGCAAGGACAGGGCTAAAGCCACACATTCCAGTAGAAGGATCAAGATCAGAGGGCTCCAGGCAAGGCTGACTGTTTTTGGACAGCACTCCTAGGAACCTAAGAACATGGCCTGAAAACACGGGATATTGGGGAGAAGCAATAGGCCTCACAGGCACAATGAAATAAGTCTTTGCTGAGCTTCTCCCTCCACGTTTGGTAGGTGGCAACGTTAGGAGGAGATAGCTGAGGTGGTTGTAGATCCATGGGTCCACAGAGCCCTGGGGAGCTCACACCTGGGTCCATGGTGCAGCGGGCTGGTGGCACCTGGCCTCTGTCCTGGATCTTCTGGTAGTGCTCTGAGGTGCTGTGTGTGGGGGCCACATTCGGAGCTAGGGAGCAGCTGGCTGTGGAGTTATACGAGGCTGTTTGTGTTGTCTGCAGCTGCTTAAACCTGACCTAAATACCTTTCGGGCTGTGCAGCCTGGCGCTTTCTTCGAAAACCTAGAAGGTCACCAGGTGCTGGGCCTTCCTTCCTCAGGCGACCCAGGGGCGTGCGAGGAGCCCCAGCTACACCGGCAACCAGCAAGAAGTGCCCTCCCTTTCCTCTCTCTCCTCTGCCAGAACAGCAGAGGGTGTCGCGGGCCAGCCCGAACGCCAGCCCCGCTTTCTCCCGCTGCCCATGGCACAGTGGGTTTGGATCCCCGGCCTCCAGCCCCGACGCCGCTGGGTGCAGGAGGCTGGCAGCCTGCAAGCAGCCTCGCTGCAGCCCCGCCGGGTCAGTGCACGCCGGGCAGCGCGTACCTTCGCTTTCCTGGAAAGCAGCTTCTCGTCAATACTGAGAAGAGCCTTGCTCTTGGAGGGGGAGGAGGGGCCTGGCCACGGCTTCACGCAAAGGGGCCACTACTCGTGCTAATTTTTCTCATAAGAGTTGAACTAATGCAGCCTCCGCTCACTCGAAACCACAGAAAGGTGTTTTTGTTTGGTGTTGATTTTTTTCTTTTCAGGGGGGAGGGGAAGCAAGGGACTGGGGGATTTTTGCATGTTGGTTTTGTCCTCCCAGCTTTCTCTTTCTGTGTTTTTTTTTTTTTCTTTTTTTTTTTTTTTTCCTTTTCTTCTTAATACTTTGCTGTTTGCATCCCCCCAAAGGAGGCTTTTAGAAAGCTATGGGACTACCTAGAAAGGGCAGGAGAGTGAAAAGGAAAAACCATCTAAGCCTGTATGCAGTAAACAGCTGTACATTTTTTGCTGTCTGCAGGCTGGACACAGAGCACATCAGGAGGCTGTGGCAATCATTTCCTACCCACGCCCCAAGCATCCTTTGTCCTCCTCTGCACAACATCTTGTGCACCGTGTCATTGCTCGTGCTGGGGTATCCAGGCCTGCCCTGTGCTTGCTTCTCTCTCCCTTCCTTTGCCATTTCACCAGCCAGCAGGAACCCCCCAGGCTGTGTCTGGGCCACTCTGATTGACCACCACCAGGGCTGGCTACATGCAGCGTGGTTCATCTCCCACCCAGGTCCCACCTGCAAAGCCAGCCTGCACACCTTTGGACGACAGCAGATTTGGGTCTGGCTGGGGACCCACTAAAGCACCAAGTGTCTAGGTCATCCCTTCATCAGCCAAAGACATGCTCCAGTCCCAGCTGAGTTCCCATGCACCTAACGCGGCCACCCACCTTCCCACCCCCAGCACACCTCCTACCCTCTATGTTTTTCTCATTTTGCTTTTTTGCACCTCTCCTCCAGATTTGCAGTGCTTCATTCTCCCCACCTCCGTTCTTTTCCTCACCGTATTACTTTCTCCCTTCACTGTGGAACAATGCAAGCCTTCGCTTTCCCAGAAAGCCATCCGCATCCAGCTGTTGGATATCAACATCTCCAGATTTACCAAGGGCTTTGGGGGTTGCTGAACAACGAGCAAAGAAATGCCACAAAGCAGAACTGTGATCCAAAGGTATCGTCAGGCACTCAGACCAGCTGGACTTGAGACAAAAACACCGTGGAAATGTTTCATTTTGTCAACAGCTCTGTCACGTCATGCTTTCGTGTTTAATGTTTTTCTAAGTTTTAGTATCAGGGATAGGGTGAGTGTACACATCCTTAGGCAGAGGAAAAAAATAAGGGCATTGATACTACATGTAAAAATAAGAACAAATCCCAGCTTCCCCTAGGGAGCTATTCTTCTCCTCACTGTCATCAGCATCCTGGGCATCTCAGAGCCCCTGTCTTTAGGGCAGATGCAGCTTCCTCCAGCGATGGACCCCTGGGCAGGGTTCAAAGCAGGATGCACACAGTGGGACCATTCGCTTGCCTGTGTCCTCCCTGCCTCTTGGTTCCAGGGAATTTGCTGGTATTCTTTTTTTTTTTTTTTTTCTTAAGAAAACTCAGCTAAAGGCAGGCTCTGTTTGTCAGCTTAATCACATCCAGGCTAGCAGGAGAGAAAAGCAGCACTAGTGAAGATTGAGCGTGCTTTGTTCGCTGCCTCCTTTGTGTTGGAAGACACAACGCTAGTTCAGCGTCCTTGTGTTTTCCACATATCATGAAGCCACTTGAGAGGCACCTCGATCCTGGTCCTCGTGAGTCAAGTCTGAGCTCTGGAAAACCGCAGTCAACGGTGCCACCATGCCACATCTCATGGCTTTTATTGCCAAAGAGGATCACCACAATATGCCTCAGCCGCGACCGCTGCGAGGCCACGGTTTCAAGTGGATGAGGGAGGGAAGAGCGAGACCCGCGGGCAGGCTCAGAGCAGCGAGGCTGGTTGTTACTTTTCTAAAGCAAAGACAGAGAGGGAGAATAAAAGGGAGAATTAGACTGGTATGATACATGTTAAGGCAAGGTGGCCGGTAGAGTCTATGAAGTCACCCAATAAATGCTATAAATACACACAGAGGGAAACTGGCTCCCTACTAGGCAACTCTAAAGCAAACCACAGGATATTTTTGAAGCTGCCATCCAAAAATACAAAGAAAAGTGTGACAAGCTTCCTCATAAACCAAAAATGGAACAGAAGAGCACTTCGTCCCTGCCGTGATTTAGCGCTCCAGTGGCAGATCCTCCTCCCACTGAAGCCTCCCTAAAAAAGAATTACCACTTTGCCCAGACTCTCGGGGAAGCTCAGAAATTCTTCTGTGGTCAGCAGCATCTTCATGCCTGGTTGAAAGGAAAAACAGGGAGTGATGTCTCAATACTTGGTGGAACTTCTGGCAAGACTGCAGGTCGGATTCAGTGTGTCTCTGACTGTTTCGTGCTCCCCAGCAATGCGAAGCAGCTGTAAAGCTCTTGTAGTCAGCTGCTTCACCCAGAATTACAGCTGCTTTGCATCACTAGACTGGTGCAAAGCAGCCAGAGCATGTCCGTGTTCTGCTTTTGTGTGTGGCTTTTTCAACAGGGCAATCCACCTAGCATGCACGCACCAGGGGACGCGTGCAGCGGTCTCGGGGGGATCTGGTGGAGGTGAATTAGAGCCCTGATGGTGCAATCAAGCCATTGCCTAATTGCAGGCTAGGCCTTTAACGATGGTGTGTTTCGTACAGAACTCCAATAAATTCTTCTCAATTCTTCTCCCCTGTTCTTTTCGAGCAGCGATACGCTTACGGCACGCACCACGCCGCCGGCTATTTATATCCCACCTCCGAAAACTTTTGCGCGTTCCCCCGTTTTTTCCACCATTTCCACGATTTTCCTTCGGCTCCCCGGGCCGTGCATTCCTGCCCAGCCCCAGCTGCCCCCTGCCCTCGGAGGGCTCCAGCTCTGCCGGCCCAGCCCGGGGCACGGCCGGGCAGGGCCACCCCGAGCTCCCCGGGGGCAAGGAGCCCCCGCCCGCTGCGCGCTCCCCGAGGGATGCTGCGGAGCCAAGGCTGCAGCAGAGGGGCTCTCGGAGGTGTTTTATTTTCTTTTTTGTCGTTGCTTTTTCCTTCCCCTTCTTTCTCCCAACCTGGCCAACTTTTTTTTTTTTTTTTTTACTTAACTTTTTTTTTTCTTCTTCTTCTGTACTTTTTTTTTTTTTTTTTCCCCTCGCAAAAGCCACGCCGTGGAAAGCCGGGGTGGCGGCGGTGGTGGTGCTGGTGGTGGTGGAGGAGGGAGAAACCCCTCCCCTTCCCCTCCCCCGTGGCTCCTTCCTCGGAAAAGCAGCACTTGGGGGGTTTCCTCCCCTTCCCCTCCGCGCCGCTCCCCGCGGCCGAGGAGGGCCCGGCGGGCTGCCGCCGGCCCGGGCCAGCCCCGGGAAGCCCCGGTAAGAGGGCGGACAGCGGCCCCTCGCCCATCTCGGGGGCCGGGGAGGCGAGGGGGGGCCGGGGGAGGGATGCGCGGGGCGGCGGGGAGCGAGGCCGCCTCGGTTTCGCTTCGGGGCGGGGGAGCGGGGGCAGGGGCCGGGGCCGGGCCGGGCAGCGCCGCTGTCGCCCCGGCACTGAGCGCTCGCTCGCACCCGCGGCCCCTCCGGCAGCCCCGAGCGGAGCTCAGGAGGAGCCGAGGGCAAATCGGGCTCCGCTGCCTCCGAGCCGGCTCGTCGGGGAGCGCGTGTGAGTGTTTTTGGGGGGGTTTCGTGCTTTCTTTGGGTTTTGGTACGCCTGGGGAGGGCAGGAGCTGGGAGAAAGGGGCTGAGCTGGGCTGGGGCTGCCCCGCTCCGGGTTTGGGGTGCCGGCGGCAGCCCCACGGGGAGCCATGTGGCTGGGCTCGGCTCGAGCCTGCCGCCCCTGTCGGCTCTCGGCACGGGGTGGCGGGGAGCTGCGTCCCGGTGCCGCTTCTCCTCCTCCGTGCAGCCCCGCAGGAGTGGTTCATCTTCGCTGGAAGAAGCCAGCTCTGAGGTTTATTTATTTATTTCCCTCCTCGATTTAGTTTTAATGGAGTTTAGTGCAAGCGTGTGTGCTGTCCTGCTCTGTAGAAGCATGGAAACGAGATCTGAATGAGCCCGGGAGGTAACAGAAAGATGAATTTAACATCCCTGAGTTCCTGCCCCCCCCCATCCTACATGAGAAGGATGGGGATGTGGCTTGACCATTGTTTTGGAAAGTTTGGGGTAAAGAGGAAAGTTTAGGGTGGCGAGCTGCTATTTAGAAGTACGTGGTCCAGACAGCAGAGTTTGCTCTTTGCAGCACTCAGAGAGTGTAAATGAAAACTGCGGTCACATGTTGGCCATGCTTAATTCTGTTAAATGGGGTGGGATCAGAAATAGCTGCAGTTTCCCAGCGTATCGTCCTCTAATGGCTGGGCCCTCCGGAGGCTCTGCCTTCCTTCTCCAAACAATCGGGACTGCAGTTCAGATGCTGCGGACGTCAAATAGCCCATTGAGTCGCAGTGGGGTTATAGTCATGTGCTTAAAATTATGCACATGCACAGAAGTTTGTGGGACTGAGGCTCTATTATCACATAATGTTGGTCTTGGTTGAATCAAGTTAGGACGAGATGTGACCGGTTGCTGCAGATGAAGCCAAGCTTTGTTTCTGTGTTCGTGAGGGATTCTGCTGGGTCTGACCTGCAGCTCGGCTGCTGAAGGACGGGGTCTTGTCCCCTCCGGAGCAGAAGGCTCTTGGGCACAAATCCGTGGGATTACTCGGATGCCAGCCTCCCACACTGGTTCCCATCTTCTCCCCAGCCAGACTTGGAGCTGGGCCTTTGTTATTTCTGCGCTGCTTGTTGTCTGTTGCACACCCTGGCTCGCTCGCTGCTGCGTGGTGCTTGTGGCGAGAGGCAGCACGAGGCTCTCCTTCCAGGTTGCACCGGCAGCCACAGGTAAACACTGTTGGGGTCCCGAAAAGCAGGTGCAGAGGAGCTACAGGGCAAGGCTGGGTTTGTGTCCCTGCCCCTGTTCGGAGAGGGCCAAGTTTGGTTTCCAGATGACAGCTTCAGACGTCGGCTGGTGCCTCTGTCCCTAATCCAGCTGGAATGTCTCTGAAGTTGGTGGCCGGTTTGCGCAAGGGCAGAGCTGGAGCCGTGTGGTGCCAATTCCTCGCTGCTGTCACCGATGCTGTGGTTGCACCGCTGAGGAAAAAAAGGGCGAGAATGTGCCTTTCGAGCTGGGTTCCTTCCCTGGTTTCTCTTTCTTTCCGTCCCTGCTGGGATTTCATTCTTTCCTTCTCCCTGGCTCTGCCACATGCGGGTTTTGCTTTCCTGGCTTCTCCTACCCTGTTCCTACCTTCCTCTGGTTGGCGAGAAATAGCTAGTGCTGGTGCTCAAACAGGACGTCGTTTGGGTCAGGCTGACACTGTGGTCACGTTAATAAAAGCTCTGGGGAGGCTGTGTGTTCCCAGGCCATTATCTGGTTGTGCTCGTGAGCCGGGAGAGGTGTATCTTAAATGAACGTGTGGGTGCTGCGAGAGCTGAGGCTGCCATCCTGGGGTGGTGTCTTTGTGTAGAGCAAGATATTGAGTGCCTATGCTGTTAGGAGGCATCATAGATTTGTTTAAAAGAAGGCAACTAAATGTTAGGCTAATTACACCCCTGATTACTTGTAACTTAGAGGCAGAAGCTGAAGATGGTCACGGTATCAACTTTACCCCCTTCTTTCCTGCCAGTGCCCTTCACTAGTGCTCAGCCCTCTGTTTTGCATCATCTGTGCATGTCCCACAGCCTGCTGCCTCATCGAGGTATTCATTAGCTGAGCGTTTTGCTGAAACTGGTCTCACACCCTTTAAAAAAAAAAAAAAGTTCAGCGGTGTGTGGTGCAACAGGATTTGGTGGCTTTGCGCTAGTGAGTGGTCAAAATGACTCGAGTAAAATTAATTTCCCCCCCGACCAAGTGCAAGATTTCAAGGTAAGATTTAGAAGTGAGAGGTGTAGAAAGTCCTTTTTTTTTTATTTTTTTTTTAACCTCTGGGAATCTGTGTGCAGTACTTATTCAGTAGTATATCAATATCAACTCAGTTTTAGTAAAACTGCTAAATACTGGTCTCTGTGTTGTCTTTGGAGCCTTTCAAGCTGCCCCCTTAGTTTCGTCCTCTTCAGTGGAGAAATGAAAAGGCCTGTGTGCACTTCACAGGAAATGAATGTCTGATACAAGCTTGCAGACTGCACATTTCCAAGAACTGCTCTCAAGGTATTTTGATAATGCACATTCTCTCGGCCTTCTCCCTTCCTGCTCCCCGTGCACTTTCTGTGCTGCTGCTTGTTCGCTAACACATGTGAAGTAGGAGGGAGACAGCCAGCCCCTGCCGATCCCAAGCCTGCACGCAGGCTGCTCCAGCTTCACGTTGGCTCCCTCGGAGCGGTCGCTGGCGAAGTTGTGCTAAGCTGGCAGCCTTCAGCCGCCTTTGTCTGAGCAGGGAGGTTTTGTCTCCCCTATCCCCACCCCCTGCAAGCACTGAAGAAAAATTTTGACTTCAGATGCTGACTTGGCTTACAGGCTCTGTGATCCTGCACTTCACAAACTGCAGCAGCCCCACGATTAAGTCCTTGCAGTGACTTTATAAACCCTTTTCACTTCAGTTTTGCATGACTAAGGGAAGTGTGTGCCTTTTGCTGGGCTCCCCTGATTTTTATGCCAAGTCTGATCAGTGAATTGGGGGCTTAAAAAGGTGATGCTGAAAAAAATGAAGCCCTTTGCTGCTGGATTCCTCTGCTGAAGCCTGGCGTGGTGGGTGCTTTACAGAGGCAAGGCAGAGAAGTTTGAGAAAGAAGAGAAATGAGAGTCCTCAGATCAGCTCTCTCACTTTCCCCAGCAGCATTTTAATGTGTGTGTGATTGGAGTTTTTCCCTTTTATGAGTTTTAAAATTACTTACTTTTCAATCTCGGTTACCTTTGAACTTCCTCTCTTTTAGTTTTATGAAAGAGCACAAAAAGAGCGGCCTGGTTGTACGGTGTGTTCCTTTTGCACCCCCTGTACCTACCCGCTCCCTAAACTCAGCATCGCATTTCTCCAGTCTCCATCTGAAAACTTGCCCGTGACTTCTCATCACCCATCCTTAGGCCCATTCCTTTTGTTTCAGCTCTACCTGTTTTTATTTAAGGTGACTGGAGCTGATCGTGCCATCTCAGGTGGTGGCATTGCTGTCGCATTCCCACCTGCCTATTTTTCAGCCTCATGCTTGTGTCTACTTCTTATTTACTAATTTCTGCCTCTGCGTGCTGAGCTGGAGCTTCCCTCAGTGAGCGCTAGGTGCTGTTTTTTGTGAGCTGCCCCAGTTAATGTGTTACTCCTGGAAATACAGACCTGGTTTATTCACTTGTGAGTCCTGGGGATGCTCGAGCTCCTTCCAAAGCCCTGCGTACAGCACACTGCATCCCGCTGACTTTCTGCCCTTTAATTTTTGCATTACCCATCTCTTCTAATTACCACCCTCCACCCGTACAGGTTAAATAGTATTAAATGCCGGAGAATCTCCTCAGCAATCTGTGCAAGGAAAACAAAAAAAAAAAGCATCTGCTTGCTTGCTTAGCTTCTCTGCAGTGTCCTCATCCCCACAGTGCTGGTACCCCAGTGAGACAAGTGATTCCCCCAGAGGCTTTCAGGTTTTGATCAACTGAAAATGCCATTTGTTTTCTGGGGTTTCCTTTTGTTTTTCTTGGCTACCTGCTGTCCCACTTTCATGACAGTCATCCCAATGTAAATTCACTCCCCACCATCAGTAACGTATGTTCCTTTATGTTGGCTCTGCCAGGGTTAGCTTCTCGCCTTTTGAAGGACTGTGGAGGTTGTAGGGAGGTTTGGGCAGGCACTTGGGCTTCACTGGGTTTTTGGATGGTGTCTGACCCACAGCAATGGCCCTTGTGAGGCTTGTACCTCCCTGAGGTGTCCTCCCCAAGCTGTCCTCACAGCCAGGCAGCCCCTGTTGCCCCTGCAGGTCAGCACGCTCTGACACTTTAAACCTTCCTAAATAACCTCTCAAATGACTGAAGTATTTTTCTTTTTTTCCACTTTTGACTCTCAGGACTCATTTCTTTATTTTGTGTATTGGAAATTCCCCATTATAAAACTTGGTGCTGTGGTGTGTTTGTGCTCCGTGACCCTCGCCCCTTCTTCTGAAAGCACAGTAATTGATATCTGGTCTGTCACGTCGGCTAGAGCCAGGAGGTTTTAAGGCAAAGGGAGCATCCCTTCGCTGTACCTGTGTGCCCTGACGTGTATGGGTTAAGCACCTAGGACTTTTCTCTCAAATCCATGGTACCGAGCCAGTTTTCCCTGCAGATGCTGCTCATTTCCTGGGGTTAGCCTCTTCCATGAATTCCTTTCCTGCTGAATGCGATGGGGCTGTGGTCATTGTGGGAACCACCAACAGCTGCTGTGTTTTGGGATGTACGTGTTGAGGCAGGGCACTGGAACAACCCAAACCAGTCCATTCAGCCGAGGAAGGTCAGAATGGGGGATGCAAACCCATGCCATTGACCCAGGTATGGAGAGAGGAGCTGCCACTGGTGGATGCTGGACTCCTGGCCTCCCTCCCAGCTCCTCTTTCCCTGTCCCTGTCACCCTCAGTGCTCTGCCAGAGCCCCTGTGCCTCCTGCTCTCCCTGCTCCCCCTCCTCATCTCTCCTCTCCTGGCTGCTCCCCATCTCCTCATTTTGGCACCTGGGCACCAAACAGCACCACCGGGCTGACCAGAGGTGAGCAGCAACAGCTCCCTGTCCTTCAGCCTCAGCAGGAGAGCCCGAGCAGCAGCGTTGAAGCTAGGCAGTAACCCGTAACGATTTCCTGTTTCTAACAATTTATATTTTTAAACTCTCTTTTCCCCAAGTTTCAGGGGGGAAAAAGCCTCAGGCTCCTGAACCTGAAGTCGGTAGTCCCGTGTAAGCCAGCTGGTAGGGGTGGTTGTGTTACTTGCTACGCAGCAGCCTTACAGCTCAGGGAAGTGGTGCTGTTGCTCCGAAATGGCAGGATTACAGCTTCATGCAGCGCCAGGCCTGCGTGGAAAGGGCTGTTTCATTTGGAAGTAGTTGTTCTGGATTTGCAGAGTGGCTCAAAGGTGAGAGGAAAGGACCCTGAAGCAGGTTTTCTCTTCCAGCTTTTTTGATCAGGCTAACAGAAGCAATAAGCTTTCCCTATAAACTGCCACCTTCATTTTTTTTGAAGCATGTTTTGTGGAAACCAAACGTGCTCGCAGACTTCCTTGCTTTGAAGAATACTGGGAGCACATCAAACTATCCTGTGGGTTTTCTTCTGGGTAAAAAAAAAAACACATGTAGCCTGTATCAGCAAAATGATCACGTTAAAGCAGAAAGCACGTCACAGAAAAGTGCAGTAAGAAACGCAGCAACTAAAGGTGAGAGCCATGAGAAGGTGGAATGACTCGTGGCTTCTGAAGTGTGCTCTCCAGCACCAGAATTAAGAAGGGGGGCTGATAAGGACGGTCCTTTCGCAAGAGCTCTCGAAGCCAGTTCCCAAAACCCGCGTGCAGAGCTCTCCCCTACACCTCTTCTGCGTGGAAACAGGAAATGTCACAGCGTGTGCTGCTGCCTCGTGCAGGACAGCGAGCTTACAGTTGTTTTTTTTTTTTTATATTGCATCCTTGTTCAACGCTGGTTATGTAGGGAAACACGGTTTGGGTTTGGTACGTGCACGCGTGTGTCACGTTTGTTTTTTCCACATATTCCCTCGCGCCAGACGTGGTATCAGCCTCACACCAAGCTCTATTTATAGCCGTGGCAGAAAAGACAGCGGGATCTGCGGCGTCTCCTCAGCCCGCTGTGTGCTGGAGGAGCTGCCTGTGATCAACGCCAGCCCTATTCACGGGGCTGTGCCACGTTCCTCACTGAACTGTGGTCCTCCGTGCTGGTTGTCTGTGCTCGTGGGCATGTGCTTGTCCCCGTGCTTCTCCCACCTGCCCCTTCCCCTCCATCAATGGATGGGATGGGGGCCTGCAAGCAGGAGGTCTCTGCTCAGGCTCTGCTGCCCGAAGCAGGGATGCTGCTGCGAGGACCCGCTGGGTGTCCCTGTGAAAGCTTTTCTGAATTATCCCCGCTGGCTGCAGGATTGATAACAGGGAGGTGCCGAGGCCAGACAGAGAGGGTAATGTAGTCACGGGGCAGAGCTGCGGTTCTGCTAGCTGCGAGTCAGCGTGCTCGGGGGTGCGTGCCCAGCCTGGGCTTGGCTGGGGCGATGCGGAGAAGTGATGTTAACTGATGGAGCTTGGGTAAAAGTGGGGCCTTGAAGGGACTGCCTCCGAAAGGCATGCAGAAGGCTGGGTTTGTTTTTGCCACTTGCTGACAGATCCGCTGCCAGGCAGGTGGTTGCACAAGGGGTGCGCTGCTGCTCCACCAGGTCAGCAGGTTTGGGTTTCCATCCACGGGGTGAGAAGAAAAAGCCTGGATTGCTGGGGAAGCCGAGCAGAAGAGCAGGAGCCAGATTGGGCTGGTTGCTGTTCAGATAACTCCCCAGCGAACGGCCACGTGCGTGCTTTCAGATAAGGCAGGCTAAATGTTGTGCCTTGTGCCGAGTGCAAGCTTGAGTTTGCTGTTCCAAATCCTGAAGCGTATTCCTGTTGCCACCATCCCTTAACATCTGGTTTTTATGGTTCCTGCTTCCTGCAGATGATGGCAACGTTAAGGTCTTTGCATTTGTCCTTAGGGCATCTGTGAGTTGTATGGAAGCTATTCAGGTCATGGCTTTGGGAGCAGCAATAACAACAGTGATCCCTTGCTGTCTGAGTGCTGTGTGCAGGCTTCCACAGCCTCACGGGCTGAGGAGGCTGAGGCAGACCAATCGCCTCCAGATTTGTCACGTTTCAGACCCACGTTACGGCCAGCTTACGGGCTCAGTCACCACTTTGGGCATCTCTTTCTTCCCGAAGGATGGATCCGCGCTGGAGGAAAGCTCCGCAAAAGCAGCGAAGCGCTGTGTCGGCACTCCCGGCGTTGGACTGCTTCCAGGCCTGACCTCCAGCTGCTCACCCCTATGGATGGCAAATTGAGAGAGGTGAGCCCTTCGAGCGTCCTGAAGGCAGGGTGCCAGCACGGATCCTAACGTGTGTGAAGCCGCCGCTGAGCGTGCCAGCTGTACCCAGCCCCAGGGCGCGCTCTCCCTGCACGACACCCGCTGCCTCGCCTGGGTAGGGAGCCCGGAGGAGAGCGTGGTGCTCCGTGTCAAGAGCACTTGTTTTGAAAAGCTCTTGAGCTTGCATTAAAGCAGAAGGTCTGGGGAAACTTAGCCGGGCTTTCAAGCAGCGGGACACCGGCTTTTGGGGGATGTTGTGTTGGCTGTAAGCGCTGTTCTTGCGGTAGGGAGGCTGTAATGTTTGGGTGTGGGGTTTTTTTTGGGGGCTTTTTAGCAGCGGGGGGAAAAAGCAAATCTGGGCTTGGCAAATCAGAAGCAGAACTAATTATGCACGTGTGTTTCATTATGCCCCAGGGTTGGCTTATCTCTACTCCAAAGAGTCCACCTAGCCTCCTTCACCTGGGAGGCCACATACACACAGTGCACGTTAACCCATTAGAAGTGAACCTTAAAGGTGACACCATGAAGTACTGCCAGAGGGCTAACTAATGCCACGCTGCCGGCCACCCAGTCATCTGTTGGAAATGGGTCACTGAAGCTAAACAAATTCACGCTGAGGACCTGACCCACATGTAGATCTCAGACCAAGTGAGCAAGCTGTGAGGGTGCTATTTTTGCATTTACTTTGAATTCGAAACGATGACACAGTCTCGGTTCTTAGTCAGCCAGACTTCTAGTAGCAGTGGATTTTTCTTAAAGGACTTGGGAGAGTGACTCAAGGTTGAAAACTGGGACAAACAGTTGTTGTTGTTGGGTTTTTTTGTTGTTTTGTTTTGTCAAACAGCATCTGCAGCCTTAAACAAATTATCTATTTATTTGTTGTTTTTAAAGCTAGCCTGGAAATGCAAGACAGCTGCTTGCTTCTGTTTTCCTGTTTGGATTTGGTTTCCAACCTAGGCCCAGGAGATTGGCAAAACTTTAGGTTGGACCCAAGAGAGCTCGCAGTTCAGGAGGAGTGGTTGCTGGTGGGAGCGAGTCTCCCGGGTCCCATCACAGCTGTAGCTGAAGCCCTGAAGGCCCTTAGTGGGAGTATGACCTTTTTTCCCCTGTAATAACTAACTGTTGAAGGGCTCTACAGCTTCCTTACCCAGTGCAGAGGAAGAGGAAAGGGACCGAGTTGCTGCAGCTTCTCGTGGTGTTGAGTTTTCGCTGGTGATAGATTGCCCTGAACGCTGCACGTGTCGCCTGTGTTTACTTGTGTGCAGCTCACTAAATCAGCTTCCCCCAAGATTTATCCTGACTTGCTGAACCGTCTGAGCAGCTTTCAACCACTGCCTTTTTTTTTTTTTTAATGGAAAAGAAAAAACCCAGCTTGATTAACTCCTTCCTACCCCTCCCACCTCCCTCAGAGTGGAATTTCCCTCCCACGGCGACACGTCGCTAAAGGGCAGCATTCAGAGCAGCGCCAGGGATGTCGTGGCCTGCACCTCACAGGACCAGAAACCGTGTGTATGTGCCCCCAGACAGGCTTCCCGGTGTTTATGGCTCCCTGTCCTGATGGTGACATTATTGATACCACTGCTGGGTATTGCAAGAGATGTGAGGGGAGGTGCCTCCTCTCCAAAAATACCGTGCCAGAACAGCGCGAGGGGAAGGCACCCCGTCCGGATGGCATGAGGCTTTTAAATAGCGGCTGAAAGGTGTGAGATAAGGGGAGCTGAGCCTAGCCCAGAGCTTTCCCTCGTGATCTTTCCCTTGGTGCTCCCCTGGGTCTGCGGCAGGGGGCTCGGGAGATGGGTCTGCCGGCTGCGTGTCGGCATCGGTCCTGCTCCCGGCATGGCAGTGCTGTCAGCGAGTGCTCCTGGGTTAATGGAGTGTGTCAAGGGGCTGAGGGCAGGGCTTGGCGGTGAGCTACTGACTTGTCAGGCCTGGGGAAGTGGTATGTAACAGCTCAGCTTCTCACACAGAATGAGCTTCTGGCTCGGGGCTGTGGTTTTTATGTTTATGCATATATATATATATATATATTTATATGCGCACACACACACACACACATGTATTTTTTTTAATAATTGAAATGACGTGGATGGATGGCTGATGGCAACAGTGGGAGCAGGGATCTGCTTTTCTAAAGCCAGACAGCCTGGTGACAACACGAGGTGCAGACGGAGCGGGAGACGAGCAGGGCCGTGACAGCGAGGCAGGGAGGGCACTTGGCTGAAGGCAGCACAGGAGCAGAGGGTGGTGGCTGCGAGAGGGCAGCGGCTTCTGCGGGCACTGGGAGATGTCCCCATGGCACAGGCAGAAGTCACGGGCTGGAAGGCCCCGAGCAGAATCGTTCCTCGGAAATCAGCAGGGCCTGGTGTCAGCGTAAGTGGTCTCGCTCGTGGCAGCCCCGAAGCTGATGGTGAAGCATTTCGTGCGGGGCGCTTGATCCGAGGGCTTTGCTTCCTTCTGGCCCGCTGGACGGGAGCGTCCTGGGATGAGGGAGAAGTTCCTGGGGTTTGGTGGGAAAGGCTCGTTCCCATCTGCTTCTGGGTCCTGTGGTCTGTCTGTCCTTCTGTCAGAGGAGGGGTTGGGCAGGCAGGAAAGACACCTTCCCACTTCTCGCTGAGTGCCAAAGTGAAAGATACCCTCCTGCCTCGGGAATTTATTCCATTGTCATTTGGGGTCTCATTTCCTCTTGCCACTCTGAAAAGCCCCTAAACATCCAGCAGAGGGAAATCTCCAAGATCTGCTAGATTCGAGGCAACCTGCTAAAGGATGTGCCGGGGAGCCCCTAGCTGTGAATCCTATAAACCCAGTGCAGCAAGGTGGGGCCTTGCTCTGGCTGGGGATCCTGCTGGAGCCCCTCCTGCTCTTATTTCCTTGGTTGTCCCTCCAGCTGCGGGTTAGTGGCACACCGTGGCTCCCTGCAGCGCTCCTTGGTGCTCTCACTGCTCTCTTTCCTCCCCGTGAAGTCCCTGTCTCCACTTGCCCAGCGAGAGGGCGTGGAGGGTTGGCCTCACTCTTGCTTCTCTCCCGCAGGCTGGACGCGAAGGAGGAAGGATGGTCACGGCAGCGTCTTCCCAGGATCCATGGGCTCTTTGAGAGATGATCAGAGGGAGGCCAGATGATCTGCACAACACGCACGCCACTGTTCCTCGTCCGCAAAGGCAGCATCGGAGCGTCCTCCCCAGCCCCGTGCCGCCCGGCTTGCCCGATCGCTTCCGGATGTTTCGCAGCTGCGAGTGGGAGGTCCTGGAGCGGTCCCTCAACATCCTCCAGGCCAGCGACTTCTACTGGGGTCCCCTGTCCGTGGGGGAGGCCCACGCCAAGCTCCAGCGGGAGCCCGTCGGCACCTACTTGGTGCGGGACAGCTCGCAGGGCAACTGCTTGTTCAGCCTGAGCGTGCGGATGCCCACGGGGCCCGTCAGCCTCCGCATCTCTTTCCAGGAGGGCTATTTCCGCCTGAAGAACTGGTTTTCGGACTGCGTGGTCCGGCTGCTGGAGCTGGTGGTGGCGGGGACCCGCAACAACCCCTTGCACTTTGATGAGATGGGGGGAACCCCCCTGGTCTTCTCGGAGCCCCTGTGCCGGAGCCGCCGAGCGGTGCCCACGCTTCGAGAACTGTGCCGCCGGCGCCTGCCTGCTGGCGCTGCTGCCGCGGGGGACACCACAGGGACGTGCCCGCAGGAGGTGGTGGCGTCACCCCCGGGCAGGAGACGGGGGTCAGAGCAAAGTGTTGGCTCCAGGCCCCTCCGCAGCCGGGGCTGGGAGATGATGGCGGGCAGTGTGGGAGGCTGAAGGGACGCGCCTGCCGCCTGGCCGTGCCGGCGGGGCCGGGGTAGCTGCTCGGAGAGGCAGGGGAGGGCAGGTGCCCCAACCCATTGGCCATAAGAGCTGTGTCCTTGGGGGTGCACAGCACGTGTGGCCTTCCCTGCAATGGCTGGGGTAAAGCCAGAGTGGGGGAGCAGTGGCTTCCACCCCCTGGGCCCTGCTCTTTGCTCCAGTCGTGCCTTATAAGCTTGAGAGCGGGGCGAGCTGCCTGTCCCCCCAGGTCAGCCCCGCTGCCCCAAAGTGCCTGAGCTAGTCTGTGCTAAGCTATGTGCCCTCGTGCAGCGATACGGCTGGCACCGGTCCCACAGCGCTGCGGCCTGGGCATGGCCCCGTGCTGCCCGGAGAGCCACAAGGGCAGGAGCGCGCCCTGCTCCTCGCCGCACAAACAGACGTCAGCACTTGCACCCGGGGAGAACTGCTGCAGCTCTTATAGTACGTGCAGCTTCGCTGCCTTTTGCCTCGCTTTATTTGAACAGGTTTTTGGGAGTGCAGATGGGTTTATACTACGGGCAGTGCGTTCCAGCGGAGGCAGTCCCGGTCCAGAGGGCCTGGGCTGCTCTGCGAGGGTGAGAACAGATCAATCCTGTGCCCTTCCTTACGCTCATCTGATAGTATGCTGCTGCCATCTATGGACTGTACAAAGATGTTTTGGTTTTGTCTCAAAAAAAATGGCAAAGAATTTTTATACAACTTTTTAAATGTTAATAAACATGTTTTTGTACTTCTTTTTAAAAGCTAACAAATACATAACAGTATTTTCATTCCCTTGCAGCATCGGAGACACGGGTAGTTTAGTGCAGAGGTACATGGTAATCAAACAAGCTGAACGAATTTCTTACAAAGACCAAAAGCAGTACCTAAATGAATAGTCTTAAATGGGAACAATAAACTTAGTTCACCTTACAGTGCAATAAATAAAGAATTTTATAAACATAAGTCACTTCCTGAACAGACGGAGGTAAGACTTTCAGAAGTATTATTAGTATTTAAAAATTCTACTGAGTGTTTGAAGGAAGCACAGCATTGATGAGCTGTAACTGGTGAGGGTGGCTACAACTGAGAGGGATAGAAAAGGGCTTAAATAGGCCTAAGAAAAAGCTTAGCACTGTGGTTCATTTCAGGGGTGCAGGTGGGTATGATGTCCTCAAAATAAGTGACTAAACGCAGCTTTGTGAAAGGAGGTCAGTGTGCTTGGATACTTTAAAATGTGACACCTGACTCAGATCAGAGAGCAGCCAGCAGTGTGTTGTGCACGCAGGCTGCTGAGCTCACGCTGGCTTTCCCCTTCAGACCTGCACGGAGTGAAAAAGCCAAATGTGGAGAGCTGGGACTCTGAATTTGCTCTCTTAGCTTCAGATATCTTGTCTGAGGAACCGCTGTGTGTAGCCCGTTATCGTTGCTGGGTCTGTTTGAGAGCAGATCGGGCTGCAATGCCCTGCACCAGGGCAAGGGTGCCCTGTGCTCCAGACAGCAGCAGCCAGGGGCTGGGGTTTGACCCACCTGGAGCCCTGCTCAGATAAACCCCCTTGGGTCACCGCTGTGTCCACCTCCTGGAGCAGCCCTGTCTGAGCACTGCAACCCAGGCAGCAGGCAGCGTGCTGAGCCTGCAGGGTGGCTGGCAGCAAAGGCAAGCAGCGTCCTGGGCTGTTGCAACAGGAGCAGTGCCAGTAGGTGAGGGGAGTGATCATCTCCCTGTACTGGCTGCTCTTTAGGCCCCATTTAGAATATTGCATCCAGTTTGGGGGCTCTGTGATGCAACCAGAAAAATGGAGTGAGATCAGGGGTACAACCCCAGGGTGCTCCATGAGGAGAGGCTGTGTGAGCTGGGCTTGTTGAACCTGGAGAGGAGATGCCTTCAGAGGGACCTAACAGCAATCTGCCTGTGCCTACAAGGAGGTCAGCAAGGAGCCAGGCTCACCACAGCGTGGTGGGAAATGGGGGGTGGTGGAAACAAGTCCAGACTGGATAGGAGGAGACCCCTGGGGGGTCCAGCTGGGGACAGGTTTTGTTCGGAGAGGTTGTGCAGTCTCCACGCTTGGAAGTTTTCAAGACCCAACTGGGTGAAGCCTTGAGCAGCTTGGTGTCACCTCAGAGCTGGCCATGCCATGGATGGGGACCTCCTGGGGTCCTTTTGGGGGCCATACATATGCTCTTGGTGCTGCTCCCTGCCATGCGTTTGGCTGGGTCTTGGGCACCATCCTGTTGCTCAACCCAAGGTGCCGCTATGGATGAGCACATTGTAGCTCCTGTGCCCACCCTGTGGCATCTCAGGTGGCTTTGGGCACCTGCCTTGGCCCTTGGGGGAAGCCCTGGTGGGGTCAGCTCTGCGTGCTGCCCTCCCTCACCAGGGGGAGTGGGGCTGGGACCGTGTCTCCTGCCCACCTCATCGCCCCTTTCTTCTCCGGCTGCCTTCCCTTTAGAAACCAGGGGTGGCAGGGAAGGAGCGGGCTCGTTTCTTTCACGTTTATAACCGAGTACAGGAATGCTTCTGTTTTATGGCAGCGGTTATAGCTCGCCGAGGGAAGAGCTTTCGAGCTGGATTGCGCTGACCTGGCGATGAACCGTTCTCATTTGGCCTGAAATGAGCATCTTGGGCTGCACGGCTGAGGGCTGCGCAAGAGCTGTGTCTGTGGCCAGGGCTGTGCCTGAGGAAAATCACACCAAGGGAGGAGGAAATAGTTTGGATTTTAATAAAATCCACTGTATTTTGTTAATTTTATTTTATTTTATTTTATTTTTTGTAATTGCACAGCAAGTACTTGTCTCTGACTTACAAGTAAGTCAATTCCATGCAGGGCTGTAGCAAATTGATTCGAGATCTGAGGATGAGAAAGCAGTGAAAGACTGCCAAGTATTGTTATATTGTGAAAGTTTAAAGCACATTATGGTGCCTATCCTCATTGTTCCGGAGGAGAGGGCACTTCTCAGATCAGAACCGGAGCAAGAAAACAAACCAATTTGGGAAGAACAAGAGTGGGAGAAGTGCATTGGGATGTGGCTGTCTTTACAGAGACCTCCTCCATTTTCTGTTTCAATCTTGGGAGAGAAGCCTTTTTCCTTAAACTTTTGAGACAGAGATGTGCAAAGTAAAATCAGAAGAGGTTAATTCCAAGAGGTGACTGCAAACGGTGTCAGTGGGTGGGAGACGTTCCCTGCAGCCACCCTGCCCCGGAGCGGGTCCCTCCGTGCAGGAGCAGCTCCTTGTGGCCAGCATCCAAGCGCTTTGCTTGGTGGCTCCTGAAGGGACTTGTAAAGAAATTACAAACTTCCTCACAAGCTCTCCAGCACCGTTGGGGGAATAGAAGAAAATTGTTTGCATTTTTATACGTTATGTTACACATTTCTCCAGCTGACTCATTTCAGTTTGTCGAGGAAATTTATACAGCCTTGCAGATGGTTTTTTTCAACCGCTCGTCCTCGCATCCCAAGTTGAAATGTTTGGTCCTTCTGCGAGAGGCTGCCTCTTACCAGGCTGCCGGGGGCTGGCTTTGGGTCCCGGCCCGCCGCAGGCATGCAGCAGGAAGCTGCTCTTCATCTGCTGCCGACCAGCTGCCCTCCAGCAGTGCAGCAGGGTCGCAGGGGTTAATTTCCCGAAATCCTCCGCTGAAACTTGTTAATAACTTCCATATGTACCCATGTGTGTGCGCAGGAGGGGCCCCACAGCCAGCAGCTCTTGTAATAACACTTGATTACCTCTGACATGAGGGTCTGTATTGCATTACGGCTCTGCCTCGGTGCATCAAAATTCACCCAAAGCCATAAGTTTTGTGCAAACACGTATCACAAAGATTACTGATGTTCGGGCACTCTCACCGTTTGGAAATGAGCTCCTCCTATGTAGGCAAACTTCAGAACAAGACCTCCTGCGCACCCAAGTGATGGCTTGGGTTTGGGCTCCTGCTCTGACGTCCTTCCCAAAATACGTATTCGCATCACCATCCTATCAATGCGCTAAAAATCTTGATTTTTACCTTGGTTGGGGGAGTGCGACAGTTTTGTCCAGCTGAGCTCACTTTGCAGCAATTCCTCAGGCGTTTGGTATGCACGGAGCTGCAGCAGTTGGAGCTCCGTGCCTGGCTGTGAAGGACAGCCTTCAAAGAGAGAGCAGGTGTCAGAGGGAGACGCGGCACAGCTGCCCTGCCTCCCCTGCTGCCTCCCTGCAGAGCCGCCTGGGTCTCCGCACACTCCCTGCTCCCCTGTGATCTCAGCTGGGGTGGCAGAGCTGCCCTTTTGATGCAGCTGGAGCCGAGCACTTCCACACACTCCCCCTGGACAGGCTGGCTCTATATGCTGGGTCTTCTCATCCCAGAAAAAAAAAAAGATGACTGAGGTTTTGCAGACCTCTGCGTGCCAGAGGTCTGCAAAGCCTAAGAGCCATGGAGGAGGTGGCTGAGTGCATTTTCTTATAAGACAAAAAAAAACAGGGCAACTGATCAGATACTCAAGTGTGAGACTCAAAACACACAGAAGGAGCTGTTTCTCCTGTGATGTATAGGGAGGGCATCGGTGCAGGCCAGCCTCATCCCCAGGTGACAGCCAGCAGAGCTGTGCCCCAGGCACCACTCGGGTCAGAGAGGAGCTTGAAAAAAGACGTGGTGAGGAAGAAGAAAACATCACACAGCACTGGCAGCCTCCTAGCTCTGCATCCAACCCCGAGCAAACAACTTCTAAAGGAAGATTTGGCTGGCTCCTGGGCTACCTGCTTTTCCACAGTGCCACTCCTGCTGGCAGAGCTCTAGACCTTTGAGCCAGTCCCAGATGCCATCGAAATCAGTGGCCAGATTGTCGTTCCCCTCTGAAGGCTTTGGACGAGGTCTCCCATTTTGTAAGGCTGGTGTGAGCAAACGTGGGTTTTCCATAATAAACTTAAATCACAACAAACCACGCTCCCACTGGCTTGTGCAACAAATCATGCTGGGGGAATTGCTGGCATTCAGCATGATTAGCCTGAGCGTAGATGCCTTCCAGCTCATAAACAATAGCCTAAAGGACTGGAGAGGATCACAAACAAAGCACTTACAGACAAGACAATGTTTTTTCAAAAGTGACTCGAGAGCTTATGGCCACCGGGGGTTTGTCTTTTAAAAATAAAACAGAAGTAAACAAATTGGCAAAGACATCTCTGAAGAATCTTAAGAGAATGAAAGCGAGGATGTAGTACTTCAAAACGGTAAAATGAAGTTGGGGAAAAAGACTTCAGGCAGGACTAGCTGTTCCTTTTAAGATGCTCAAGGAAATGTGCCCACAGAACGGGCAGGCAGGGGCTGGCTAGGAGGTGGAGGGGATGCAGGGGCTGCTCCCCAGCCTGCCTCTAGTTGGCCATCAGGGAGAAGTCCTTGCTCCAATTCACACGAGGAAGAAAAAAATCCCTTTAAAAGCACTAAGAGCAATGACAGAGTAAGGCAACTTGTATTTATTAAGCTTTATGGGAGCCCAATCTGCAAGGGACATTCCCCGCACTGTAAGCCGTGAATTTCAGGCTGAGAACAGTTCAGTTTATGTAAACCATATTGTTTGTATTGCAGTTTTATTCGTTTTTAAAAACCTCATTTTTTATAATAACATTTTTAAACGTGAGCTGAATTATTTAGAATTTCATCTGTTTGCTCCTGGCCCTGGCCCAGTGAAGTAGCAAGTGCCCAGCTTCTCACTCAAGAGATTTCTACAAGGGGCCCACAAAGTTCTTGGCTTTGATGTAGCTTCTCACACATTTGGACACCACGGGAAAGGTCAAATCCCCTGTTCTGCAGTTTTGGGTTGGGTGGAGAAGGACTGGTGGCTCCTGATCCTTGGATTTCTGCAAAGAGCTCTCCAAGGCATCAGGAGGGCAGAAAGGGGAGGTGGAGAGCAGGAACCAAAGACTGCTCGCTGCTCTCGGAGACTGTGCAGGGGATGGGACAGATATGGAGGCAGCTCTAATGTATGTGCTGAAATACCTAAAATAAGCCATGCAAACAAATCAATCGTATGTTATCCAGATGGGGCTGTTCAAATCCAATAATAGCAGTAAAGTGCTCCTGAACTCTGCGGAGAGAGAGATTATAGAAGGATCAGGTATAATTATAGTGCCTTATTATTACCATTCTCATCATTCTTTCTAACAAAGATTTTCAATAGGATGAAACAACTTCTTGCAGGAGAATGTAATGTGTTTGCTGGCATTTTTTCATTCTTCCTTCCAAGGCTGTTCGAGTCAGTCCTTGTAAATGGTATTAGTACATGCCATAATGATCTTGGACTACATCATCTTTCAGATGATGCCCTCTTTGCCTACAGCAGACCCTTCCCCTGAAACATCTCACTGTTGCTACCATTGGTGGAAACACCACCAAAAATCCCCTGCTGCTTTGATACACACACTTCCAAGCAGGATGGAGAAATGTCCTTAAAATATTAGTGGTTGCTAGAGGTTTGTTGGTCTGTGTCCTGCTCCAAAGCTGGAGTAATATAGGTGGAATCACCTAGGAGATTTTATCTACTTCAGACATGGTCAGACAGCTGGGGGTGTCACGTCTGCAAGTACCTGGGACCACAGGGTGGTGAAGGAAAAAGACCCCGTCATTTTTTTCAGCAGTATCCCTTCTGGGTCATTGCAGGTTCCTGAAAGAATTGCCCTCAGACGGGGCTGACGAGGTGGTGGAGCTGTGCTGTGTAATGGAGCCTGGACTTCCCGGGGAGGGGATTTCTCACCCGAGGGAAGTCCAAGGCCACTCTTCCACCTCTGCGGCTACCCCGGCAGCAGCTCAGCAAGGGAAAGCTGCCAGTGAGCGTGTGGTTGCTAAAACCTCCGGTGACACATCTCACTTAGCCTGCAGCACTCCCTGCACCGCCGTCTTCGTCCTGCCCCTGAATTGGCAAAACCTGTCCATTTGCTGAGCTCAGCTTGGAGAGATGCACACGCCTGTGCCAAACGCTGTGGCGATGCACAAGAGCCTCCTTCCCAGCCACCACGTCCTCGAGAAGCTCTCTGCTCTGCTCTGCTCTGCTGCCTGGAGGTCCCTGGCCAGCCAGGAGGAGCAGGCAGGGTGAGGAAGGGTGGTTTGAAGAGATGCAGTAGGTTTTCTTTTTTTTTTTTCTTTTTTCTTTTTTTTTTTTTTTTTTTGGCGGGGGAGGTTTGTTTCAGAAGGGAGGGAGGGAAGGGGCGGTTTGCTGAGGTGGGTCTTTCTCTTTTCTCCTCCTCTCCCCAAACACCTCAGCAGAGCCTTGCTCTGAGCTCAATGAAAGTAGGGCAGAGCCTAACCACATTTCAAGCTGTCTGCGTTTTTGGATTCTGGGTAATTGTGATCTCTTATCTGTTCCTAGAAAAGATTTAAACAACTTATAAACCACAGCTGGGCAGAGATAATAAAGGAAGCAGTGGCAGGGTGGGGAAGGATCTCCCCAGCACAAGCAGAGCAGGGAGGGGGGCCTGTGGGAGAAGTGGTGGGCCCGGTTGCGGTGGAGGGGTCTCCACATGGCTGCTGGGGCCACAGGGTCTGAGGGGGGTGGCTCGGGGAAACCAAAGCCACAAGTGCTGGTAGCTGGGCTGTGCATAAAATGTGTGCATACATGTACACGCATATATATGTGTAAGAGCAAGTGGAACTGTGTTTAGCCACAGGAGAGGGAGCCTGAACCCTGCTATGGTGTCCACGTAGTCCCACCTCCATGCACATGTTCTTGCTGAGGTTTTTCCTCCACGCTTCCTCTCGCACTCCGGGGCTTTCACATTTTCCATTCCTCATCACTGCTGGTCTACACCTGCCGTGGTAGGGTTTGCCATGCAGGGGATACTCCTTCCACTGGAGGGGTTTGACCCAGCCTCCAGCCCCACAGAGAGGCTCAGAACATCCCTCCCAGGCCTCCCCCTGCCCACTGGGGACATGCTCCATGCTCTGCCTGGTCCCCTTGCTCTGCTCTTTCCTCCTCAGCTGGACACTTGGTAGGATGCATGTGCTCTCCCCTTTGTGCTTGCTGTGCCTACGAGGGAAAAGCTTTGTCAGCAATGATCTTTTCATACTTTTAAGCTGTATTCTCATCATCCATCTTAAACTGCATGCAGGAATTTTGACAAGGGTTTAAAAAAACTTGGTAATGATCCTCTTGCAATAGGCCAAAACAACAGACCTGTGTCCTGTAGGCCTGTCAGCTTGGGATGTGGATTTTGGGTGGGAAATTGAAGGGGCAGAGGGAGGGAAAGAAGGAAGAGAGAATGAAAAACAATTCTATATTGACAAAGATCCTAGCAAAGAGATGGTTCTTTCAGCAAACGCTCTTGCCAGGGTGGTTTATTTAGTTTGGATAGCCAGAATAGGGCCTGGTGGCTTAGAGATGTTTTTCCACCCTAGGAGAGTTTGCTATAACAGCTGTATCAGCCTGTGTATTCTCCACAGTTCACGATAAAAGGAAAGCTGAGGAATTAATAGAAAAGAAAGCCATCTTTTTTTGCCAGCAAGATACTTAGCTACTTAATCCCTTCCCAACCTTCCTCCCAGGAATTGGCAGAGGCCTGGTGCACGCGAGGAGAGCGGCGCTGATCTAATGCCGGCTGCGACTGCATGCGTGCCCCACTGCAGGGGGGCCCTGCTGGCTCAGAGGCTGCTGTTGCTTGCTGCAGGTCCCTTGGCTGGAGAGCTGCCAGCAGCTGTGTGGGCAAGCAAGGAGTCTCAGCTAGGCAAAAAAAAATAAATAGGAAAGACATTAAAAGAAAACAAAGCAACAGGAGGAAGTGAGGGGAAGAACTGGGGAGGGAATGATGTAGGCAAGGTGCAAGGGAACGCAGGGACTTGGATGAAAACGAGTTGGAAGCGTGGTGCAGCTGCGGGGCACGCCGTGGGGCACCTGAAGGCAAGCAGAAGCTGCGCCTTGCCAGGGCTTGGGCAGCCGGGCCTGGCACAGCCAACTGGCTCGCCTGGCAGGCCATCTGGCGAGGCGGTGGCTGGCAGGCACGGGTCCTGCGGCTGCCTGGCTGCCCCATCTCCTTGTTCTACACAATCCTCCCTGCGTCTGCCCGCTGCAGGAGCCGGCCCCCCGCCAGCCCTGCCTGCCTGCCCACCCTCCACTCTCTTGGCAGGGCGCTTGCGCAGCCATCCCCTCAAGCTTTTCAAGGACTGATGCGAACACCCAACGCAGCGCTGCTGGCGATTAGAGGGCTCCTCTTTTAACACAGCATGGCCGGGAGATGCCAGCATCCTGCCCCTGGCCTCTCTGCTCATCTGTGGCACCTTGGGGCTGGTGACACATCCCGCGGTGGCTGTGGGAGGGCTGTGCACATGGCTCCTGCTCTCAGGGTTCCTGCTCTCCTACTCCCACAGGGCTGGTGGGGTGAGCCCGCAGCTGCTGAAGTTTGCACTGATTTGAGCCTCCCTCTGTCGAGGCCAGGGCAATGGCATTGCAAAGCCCCGACCTGCTGAGGGAGAAAGGTGCAGCATCACCACTTAGTGCTGGTAGTGCTTTGCTTCGGGTGGAAAATACGTAAGAAGCTTTCCCAGGAAAAATCAGCGTACACATCATCTCCGCTTTCTCGCCTAGCGCCCTGCCAGGGGCCCACACTCACTGTCAGGAGGCCTCTGCAGGTTGAGAAGTCTCATTCATAATAAAACTTCACTCCCCACCAGCACTGGCAAGAGTTTCCACTGCGCCGGCTGCGTAGGAGGGGCTTCTGAGACTGAGTGGCAAACTGTGCCCGGGCGTCCCGAGGTGAGGCCACCCTTGCTCCCTGTACCTCTACCCTCAGGGGGGCTGCTGCCCCTTGGGGCTTGCCAAAATGACTCAGTCCCTCTGGTCTTGCTCCACTGCCAGAGCCCGGGACTGGCTGCGAGCTGGGTCTGCGGTGCATGCGGGGAACCGCAGGCTCCTGCTCCTCTCCACGGGCTGCTGCGGTGAGGGAGGCAGGGTGAGAAGGGAGGACAGCAGGCATCAGGGCTGGCTTCGCACCATAGCAGCGGGCTGTGCTGGAGCCTGTGGTAAGGTTTATTTTCCTTTCCTGTATCCCGCCTTCTGCTTACCTTCGCCTAACGGGCGAACCGCTATGGCAATAGCTGCAGCTTGCTGAGTAAACATTGTTCTGCGAGTTGTTGATTACAGTTAATTAGCATTAATTTTGCCTTAAATGGATCCTAGTTGTGCTCGTTTTCTAGGGGCTACAGTTGCAGTGCTGCTGCACAGAGGAGATGCCCGGCCAAGGGGGGCTTGGAGCAGGAAGCATGGAGGTGTCCCTGCGATGGGGGCAGTGACAGTGTGAGAGAGATGGGATGGGATGGGATGGGATGGGATGGGATGGGACCAGCATGGCATTCACTTTTCACACACTTCATCTTCTCAGTGACCTGTACCAGCTCAGCCCAGCACCCACGTTTCACGTGAACAGATGACAAAGTGTTCTGCCGTGCTGACAGCGCATGTAAAACTGGGAGACAAGGATTCACCTGCCCCAAGAAGTCATTCTTGCTTATTGCAGGAGTAGTAGTTTTTCAGAGCTTTTTAATAATTTAAAAAAACAGACAAAACCACCAATACTCTGTGCACCAGCGGGTCAAAATGAAAGGGGGAAGGTGCCTCGTGGCTTGCAGAGGGGCACCTGCGAGGGGTGGAGGCAGGGCTGGGGGGCAGCGCTGCTTCCAGAGACCCCCCTGGGGAGCTGTGGTGAGGGGTCGGGAGGCTGAGGGAGCTCGGCCCCGCCATGCCGGGCCGGGGTCGGGGCAGGGCTCGGGGCTGCCCGCGGCCGGGGCGACGGCGCCATCTTGTGGGGGAGGGCGCGGCCGCCGCCCCTCGGCCGCCACCTCCTCCCTGGGTTCCCACTGCCCTGTGGGCTCTGGGGCTGAGCCAGGTGGATTTTCTAATTTATTTTATTATTTTATTTTATTTTTTTCATGGAAGATGTCAGCCCAAGAAGTCAAGGAAGTCCTTGGAGGCGAAATCCCGCTTGTGACGAGGCTGTAAAAGGAAAGCTGCGAAGGGGAGCTGGAGGGGAACGCCGCGAGGTCGGGGCGCAGGCATGGAGCGTGAGCCCTTGGGAGCATAGCAGGCGTGTGATGATAATTTAGTCCCCAGGAAGCTTTCCAGCTGAGCAACAGAAATAAAAGAGCAGGAGCAGGGTGATTTCTGAGGCAGACTCATTTTGTTGGTGAAAGGGAATTATAAAAGCACCCCCTCCCTTCCCTACGGTAGTGTCAACACCTTTCTTTTTCTGGTTTCCCTTCTAGTTGCTGATTGTTCTCTTCCCTGGAGCAGTTCAACGGGTAGAAGCGTAGCGAGGGCATTGGCAGCTTTTACCTCAGCATCATCCAGCCCTGCTGAGAGGCACTCGACGCAGAACGGTGCTAAAATGCTGGCAGAGGTACGGCCCTGCTTGTTCTGGCTCTCCTGTCGCTCGCACCGCCAGCCAGAGGGAAACCGTAAGCCACAGAGTCTGGGGTTAGAGGAGTCAAAGAGATTGCGAATCCTTGGAGGTGTGCGTGTGTTGCCGCTGGCTGGGTTTCCAGTGATGGGGGACTGAGCCGGTCTCTGACGAGGCTGCAAATCCAGAGCTGCTGTGCCGGGGAATGCTCTGAAACGCTCCCAGGCAGGCTCTGCAGTCAGGCTTGTTGAGTTGCTGCAGCTCTTCTCTGCGCCAAGCGGTGTTTCTCTTTTGGATGGTTGTGGTGTTAAACGCTTCAGCAATAAAGAGGCTTTGTTGTGGTCTCTGCAGCGCTGCTTTTGCCTTGGCTAGCAGCAGTCTTTTTGTTTGAATAAATACTTTCCCTGGAGTTGGCTGTGGGGGCATGTGTGGGCACGTGTGTGTGTGCGCCTCTGCTTGTGGGTGTACGTTGGACACAGCTGCAAACAGGCAATTCGGGTAGGTTCAGCACTTGCCCAAACTTGTTGTTTCTGAGCACCAGAACAATGTGCTTTCCCTCGCAGTTGGGAATGCTGGCCACTGTCACGGGCTTTTAACAGTGCTTGAGTGAAATTAATGGATGCTTTCCAGCCATGGGCAGAAACTGTTGCTAGCACCTGGCCCGATGCTGGATTTAGGCTCGGGAAGTAATCAGCATTTGCTGCACCAAAGGTGCAGCTTCTCAATGTGCTGTGGCAGGGCTAGGGCTGGACAAGCCGTGCCCTACTTATGCTGCAGGGACCAGCTCATATGCGGTAGCACACTTTGTAATGTACAGGTGAAGGTCACACAGTGACCCATTTGCGCTATAGTTTCAGGGGGATCAGTAACAGCCCTGCTCCAGGCTGGTCATAAAAACACACAACTCCCCTGCTTTTTCTCATCTTCCTCCCATTTATGTCTGCAGTCCAGAATCCCCAAACCCAACTGAATTAAAATTGAACATTCAAAGATTCAGGCTGCCTTTAGGCTCTAAGGAACAGAATGCCATCCTGTTAATAGCTGCTGGGTAGTCGTTTCAAAACCATTTCTTTTCAGCAGGCACTACCATAGCAAATTCCAGCAGCGATTGTATTTCTGGCCTGGTGTGCCTCTAATCCCACAGCTGAGTTTTACACGTGATCTCTTTTGAAATGCTAGAACTATATATTTCTTAAAATTCCAGACAGAGATATTTCTAGGTGTTGGCATTTAGAGCGGCAACAGGATTGTTTATAGGAAGAGAAGGGAAAGGATGGAAGGAGGATGTTGACCTAGCAGCCCTACAAACCTACCGCACTTAATCCACTTATCGCTCTGAATTCCTGAAGCAGATAAATGCTGATAACAGTTAAAACACATCACTGACAGGAGCAGCATGTTCTGTCCTCTAGAAATACATCAACGCTGGAAATTGCAAAGCTGTGTGCTACCATGGGGATGAGCGTGATATAAGAGCTGAGGAGGCCCTCACCGTTCAGAGGAGTTCTTCCACAGGAGGGTAGCTTTTCCCTCCCTCCCCCAGCTATCTTGAGATGCAATTCAGGCCTGAGAAACACTGCCGAGCATCACTGTGACCCCACAGCCCCCCAGAGCCACAGCTGCCTGATCTGTGCCTACATATCTGAAATACCAAGTGGGCCCCCAGTGTCTTGTTACCGCTCTTGATTGTCCTTGCTGCTCAGCGTTAAGACCTGTGAGGAGTGATTTCCAGCTGAGACCAGCCCCGTGCAGCTCACGTCAGCATGTCTTGGGGAGAGGAGTTCGTTTTGGCTAATCTGAGCTAAACCTTCCCTGGAGGAGTGCAGCTGCTGCGCCAGCCTTGCAGAGCCACACAAAGCCACTTGCTCCTCTCCCCATCTGTCGGGGCTCTCTGCAAGGTACCGGAGCCGTCCCTGGGCTCAGGGGAACGCAGCAGCCGCAGCTGTGCACTGCACCCCTGTGTCAAGACCCCTTCCTCCTGAGGACCTGTCCCAGGCTGAACAGGAGGAAAAATGCTATAAACTAACGATAGTTTTGGAGCAAACCTTGCTCATACAAACTCAGCAGAGTTATTTTGATTATGCACGATTTACAGGCTCATCTACCTTCTCAGGTCTTTCTCAGCACGGACTGCGCAGCTATCCACCGGTCTCCGCAATCCAGCAGGCAGTGAGAGCAGGCACCATTGAAGTTGCAGCAAAGTGTTTTCTCGTGGACAGTGCAAATGTCTCTCAAGCTGTCTGAAAGGAGGAAGCTGTCTGGAGAGAAGTGAAGACCTCTCAGGCACAAAGATTTTTTGAGTCAGACACGGCTCAGCTGTTGCATTGCAGATGTCTTAGCTACAAACAAGCTTTCACTGAAATCAAAGACTCTTCATGAGTTTAAGTGGTAGGATCCTCCCACAAAGAGAGGGCTTTCTTCTTCAAAGGGTTCTCCTCAGATTTCCCTACAATAGATTTCTTAAGGCTTGCCTGCATTGTGAAGCTGATTTAGAGCCAGCATCATGTGAATCTGAAACATCACAGCTGTTATGGATGAATTCACTGCCTGGTTGTTCTCACTTCTGCAATTCGAATGCCTTCTTCCACAGTAACCTCGCCACAAAGTTGACCGTGGATGGAAGTGCTGGGCTGTAAGGAGTGCAGTAGGGCTGTTGCTTTCTGCTGACCGCTGCCGCAGGTACTTGTTTTCCCTTCTGAAGGCAAAATAGATTATCTCATGCTTGAGTGTTCACATGAAGAATTAGTTTGATTGCGCTGCTCTGCCGTGAACCCATGCGCTGTTGCACTGTTGGCGGTTCCTCCATGTAAATGAACGACCCGAGTAAGATAATTTGAAGTAAGATGCCTTTATTCCGAAATATTGGTGGTCAGTGCAGTGCAATAATCAGGAACAGCTGTTCCAAAAGAACTGCATAAACAAATCCTTGCAAAATTATGGTAAAAATCCCAATGTACTATTTTTAAGCTTGTCCATTGCTCCAGAATCGGTTGAATCATTCACTGAATTGGCCCACATTTACCTCAAGTGACCTCAAATGGTACCAGTTGAAGCACACTTCTTCTATGTTCCAACTTGGGGCTTCGGTCACTGCAGAAGGTGACCAAGTTTGCTTTAAATGGTGGAATATTTTACAGTCATTGGAAGACAAAGCTCTCTGTGTTAAAGAGCTTACGGTTTAATCTTTGGACACTTGCTGATAGGTGTAACACCATTGTAATAGTACAGAGAAATGACCCACAGTGCAGGGAGGAGTCTGACAGAAAAGCAGAAGAGCCTGCATCTGCCGGAAAGAGCTTGCCAAAAGCAGTGCGAGTCTGTCCCGCCTGTCCCTGCACAAACGGGAGGGGATCAAACAGCTCCTCAGGCGTGGAAATACCTGACAAAATCCAATCTCTTTTGCCTTTTGGATCTTCATATCTGATTGCTTTCTTACAGCCTTTTGACCCTACCATGGCCTCTAATCTAAAAGTCATCTTCCTGTTTCTTTGGTCGCTTCTCTGTGAAGGTAAAAAAATATATATATTTTTTTCCTTTTGTTTACTCTCAACATTTGTTCATATTAGAGCATTTCCAGCTGCTATCTTTTTCTAATTTCCAGAGCTCCCCTCCAGGAATTTGCACACTGCTGCTATTTCTGTCTTTTAAGCATTTCAAAGCTCAGAGAGAGAATCCTTAAGAAAGGGGGAACATGGGAGAAGGGTTATATAACCTAAATAAAATGGTTGGGCTTTATCCCTGGCATGTTCTTCTCAAGCTAATAGCTCCTGGGATGCTGCAAAAAGATGGATCTCTCCTCTGTTTTGTTAGGGCAATGCTTTGCAATGTCTTGTATAGAAACAGCATTCATGTGTGTTCTGCTGGGTACAGATGAGGATAAGGCTGATGAATTATTTTTGAAAATAAGGCACAGAAGGGACTGCGCAGGTTATCACTCCCATGTTGGCTGCGGGATTTTCTGTTGCCTTCTTTCCATAACGCTGTATCTAGTGCACACAGGGCTGAGCACTCACAAAGACCGTGTCCCGTAGGACTGTATTGTATCTCACTTGCTTTTACAGCTAAGAACCTCTTCCTAATGATGTAACCTAATCTCTTCTTTACTCTTAGGGTATTGTGCCTGGCTGTGTCATCTGTAGGGGATTTTTCTTAAGTGCTGTTACTCCCCTGAAGTCTGTTCTGGACAGTGATCGTGCCCTCCTTCTGTTACTGCACCCCTCTGTTCTCCTTAGTGGCCTGCATTCAGTAGCGTTAAGTCAAGCGTTGCCTCCTCTGATGCCGAGCCCCACCAGGCAGAGGTGATGCTGCTGTTGCGATGCGGTGTTACTGCGTGGTGACAGGAGAACAAGCCTGGCTGTGCTCTGGGACTGCCTTATTAACGCCTGGTTATCAGCCTGTTCGTAGATGCTGAACCCCAGAGAGTCCCATCAAACCCGTGAAGGAAAAGCCTGCCCATCCTCTACTTTCCCTCTCTGTATTTTCCCCTTCTATTTTCAGGTCTGGGAAAGAATCCTGAGTCTTTCATTTTGTAACAAGACTTGATGCAAGTTTCCAGTTCCCTTTTTTAAAGGCAACACTGCTTTGCACAGGCTTCCTCTTAAGGTGGTTTCTGTGTGGTGCGATATCAGCTGCTGAATATATCAGCTACCAGAGAATGACTGACGTTAAACCCAGACTTGGCTGTGCTGCCAGGAGGTTCTGTACCCCAGGCTCCTTACGAGCCTGTGACTTACTCATTTTTTTTTATTTTATTTTGCAAAACGGGGAGTGAACTGTGGTGTGGATTCCCATCTGTGCTTACTCATCCTCTCTCGTAATACCCAACATGATTGTCTACAGAATTACAGTGACAGGTTGCTTTCAACAGACCTGAGTAAGGAGGAAGCACGTGAAGGGCATCTTCTCCCATCTCCCTACCTGAAATACTGTCACATATAGGGATTTAAGATCTGCAGTCCTCTGCAGATAGTTACTGCATCTAGCATCCACTCTCGTACTTTGCTGCCTGTTTACAGCAGCAGAAGTTAGGAGCGATTAAGCTGTGTCTTATTTCTCATGCCCAGCATACAATATGCAATTTCCTTCCTTATTCTTGTCTCAGAGATGCACAATTCCACCGACACACCTGCTTGCACACAGCGCCTTCACTGGTGCACTGTGATCACGTGCATGTGTACACGCCCAAGCAGAGGGTTGTAACTCAGGAGTTACAGAGGATGCCCAGCGAGTGTTTACCTTAGAAAACCGCTTTCCAGTCATCCTCTGTAAACAGTGTCACGCCAGCACAAAATCAGTACACTTCCTGCTTCATTTCTGCTCTTTCTGTATGCCAGCATTGTGCCGAGGTGCTCACGAGGGAAAAGGGAAAGTCTGTGATTGCAACAAGCTATCTCCAATCACGCAGCAATGACCTAAGAGTTGTGGCAGATCACACGGGGCATGTGCTCTGCATCACTCAGTTTCTGACAAGGGCCAACAGTGCTCGCTCCAGACGTGCTTCCCGACATATGTTTATTTTCACCACGTGATTGGGGCAGCAATTTTCTCCTGACTTATGGTGATGTTAGGTGCCTGCTAACAATTATCACCCTTGCAGGGGGAGATGTCGACGTACAGCAGAATCCTCTAATCCAAGTTGCACTGCTCAAGGAAGAAGTGTCCATCCCCTGTGAAGTCACCTTCCTTTACACCCTGAAATACACCAGATTTTCAATCTCCTATTACTGGTTTAATTCATTGGGTCAGAGGACATCCATCTATAATCGGGATGAACATGTACAAATCCCCCCTGGAAAAGAGAATACGTCCATAACCAAATCCTACAATCACAAAACCATGCCGCTTGAAAGCCACTCTTCTGGCACCTACTATTGTGAGGTCCGGTGGGGTGAAATCCTGAAAATGGGAAATGGAGTGTATATCCTTGTGAGAGGTAAGTGAACATCCAGAAAAGAAGGCAAACAGTTAAAAAGCAGCTGGCCTTTGCTGTGAAAAGATGATCTTTGCTTTTCTTTTCCTCTACCCAAACAAGCTATGAAGTCAGGTGGGAATAATACTTGATGCCCAATGCTTAAAGCCATCAGGGTTGAATGTGCTTTACACAGGACTCACCGTAATGCCTCCCCCTTTTCCATGTGGCTACAAGGGGTCGGTTGTTCTATTGATGCACAGCCTAGAAAACAAGGGAGAGCTTCTGGCCAAGGTAAGAGGAATGCTATAAGGCCGTGCATGCTGCTGACTGGCAGGATTTGCATTGCTGAGTGCTGGATATGGAAAACTTCTTAGGGTAAATGGGAAGAGCTGTGATGAAAGAGCTTTGCTACACTGCTCAGAGGTGCCTGTTGTACCCACCCTACTAGTTTGTGTATCCTGTGTGCTTTCCACCATCTGCCTTCCTACCCCTATCACTGAAGACCTTTGCTGGCCTCTGCCTACCTAGCACCCTTTTTGGCTCTCATATTTCTATCATCTCCCTCTAATCACCACGAAGTGCAGCTGCTTATATCCCGTCTCCTTTGCATGGTTCTCCAGCTGCACCCTGCTCTCTGTTCAGTCAGGCTGTGTTTTGAAGCATGTGTGCATCTGTATAACCTTTACTGCTTCTGTAGTTTAACTCTCCTAGGGTTTTTGGCCAGAGTTAAAAACACAACACAATTGTAGCTTCCACTCACACTGTGAATCTTTTGCCTTCTTTCCCACAGAGACAGGGTACACCGAGACCTCCTATGGGTGGGACATCCTCATTACCTTTACCACACTTCTGGCTGCACTGAGCATCATTGCAACAGCTCTGCTCGTGTGGAAAAGAAAGGCAAGTTATTAGCAAATAAAAACCAATACCTGACGTGACCCATTCTAGGAATTTATTTCTCTTGCTTCTAACTTGGCTGGATTGGAACTCCCCATGCTGAAATTTTCCATGCTGGGTGTCTGTCTCAGGTTTATTTTCTTTTTTTTTAAGTTCAGTCATTCTGAGAAAAAAAGGTTACAGAAGAGACAAAGCGAGCTATTGATTTGTCCATAAAGGCATTCTGGTAACCATTCTGACTGTGGCATGCTCTGCTTTAGAGCAAGGGTCTGACACAGGGCAAGAAGTCACACCGGCAGCGTGCTGGCCCTGAGAATATTCAAGCAGAGGTAGCCTTGTGATGGGTCTCTGGAAATTTGCAGCTTGTATATGGCCAGTTGTGGCTTGTGTCAGTTTATCAGCTTGGTTTTCTAAAGGAGCCCACGCGAGGCTGCCTTTCCACACGGTGTCAGTCTGACAGGCAGCGTGGCCTGGGCACCAAAGCAAGTCTCTTGCAGCCCTGGTGGCAGGGGAAGAGCAGGGCTTTCCCCATGTCTAATCCTCTTTCAAAATGGGAGCTACTCTCCTGCAAAGGCATGACCTGAGTGCGAGGAAACTGTGCAACTGCTTTCCTGAGCCATGGGCACCGTAGAAGACAGCGGTCTGCAGCATGGAGGGCACGGGATCCAGAACCTTGGGCATGTGCTCGGCGGATAAAACATTAAGAGACAAGGCTGGGGGGGAAGGACAGGACAAGGATCCCAAGGAAGCCTGTGTAGAGGTCCCAAGTGACTGGAAAAAAAGAGTGAGATAAGGATTTGAGGAGCAACCTGGTTTAGTTGACTATGTGGCTAGTTGGCTGTCTAGACAGTCTCCAGAGGCACCTTCCACGTTCAGCAATCCTGTGAGGATGGAAGGGAGGAGCCTTGGGAGGGAAATGGACTGGAAGTCCTAGAGCATGAGGAGGGTGTTAAGACTGGATTGACAGAGACTTGGGTGAGAAGACTAGAGGCACAGGCTGGGACTGGTTGGGTAAGGAAAAGCTGAGGGCAAAGGGGAAACCAGAAGTAGAGAAGAAAGGGTATACAGAGCAGGAGAAGAAGAGCCAAAAGCAGGGGCAAAAGGTCTGAATGAGACAGGAATAAAAAACTTTGAAGTTGTGATACTGGAATCTCTGTAGACCAAGCAAAATCTGCTGTTCCTCGTAGTGCCTCCTCCAGGCATTCAAAACAGTATCCTCTACACTCCTCCCACCATCTCAAGGCTGGCTTAAGTAGTCCTGATGTCTTTCAGACCGGAGTTTGGGGATTGATGCTTTATAGACAGTATATCCCACCATATTTCCTCGTACCAGCTGCCCTCTGCCACCACAACAGCGGGCTTTGCATGTGGAGGCTGTGCTGCTGCTGCTGCAGACCTCTGGCCCCGAGGAGCATCAGGCTTCAGCACACACGGTCAGAGCTCGTGAGATGGGAAACAGGGAGGCAGCAGCTGGCAGGCCTGCAAATCTCGTGAGACTTACCTTGCAGGCAGGCAGATGGAGGGGGAAGGAGCCACGACTTGCTGCTTGGCAGCCCTAGGTTCTGAGGTGGGCCAGCAAGTCTCAGACCTACGGGCTCTCCTGGGGGCCGGGGGAGATCAGGCAGTCATTACAGTTGCCCTCCCGCAGAACACAGCCCATATTTCTCACCACAGCTTGCTCAGACCTGCTGGTTTAAAAATGTTTATCTTTAAGAGAAGCTATTTAGCATCCTCCTTAGTTACTAATGGACTGGAAAGCAGTTCATCGTTTCATGTGATGTGAATATAATCAGCCCACTTCTTTCCGAATTAGAACAGAGATACTTAGCAAAGCCTGCTGCCTTTTCTGCCTCCTTCTCTTACTTGCTGAGCAGGCTAGCCCTTATCTGAGCATGAATGGAGCATGTTCAAGGAGAAGTCATCTGATGCAAGAAACATTTCAGAGGAAGAGGCCTTCTTCCTTCAGCTCTGTGCTGGACTTGCATGTTAGTGTTTCACTGACTGTGTGTCATCATTAATGTTTGCCTGGTGCTTTTCTCTAGATTCTGTCTATTAGCATCTTCCCAGCCAAATCCTGACAAAAGTCACTGAATTGTGCCTCTGTAAAATCCCCCTTGCACTTTGAATGTGGCCCTGCTTTTCTCCCTGTCCTACAGTATTGTTGTGTGCTGTTCAATATCTGTGCCTTTTACCCTGTGGTGAGGAAAGTGGAGGGCCTGTGTGGTGTGTAGAGTCAACATTCTTTGCTTTGGAAACACTCGGGGTGTGTGAGCAGCTGGCTTTGACTTGACTCTGCGTTCATTTCGTTTTGGGGGAGCTGGTCTTTTCTCCAAATGTGTGATTTGGTGTCTTGTCCTGAGCAGGTATTGTGTCCTAAGAGGAACCAGCTAAATATACTGAGGCAGAAGATAGAAACTCGGCCCCCTTCAGCCAGCCCGCCACCACCTTCTCCTGTTTATGACGTGAGTAGCAGAATCACCCTCCATACCTGCCGTGGCACAGGCAAGCTGATAAAATACCAGTATTGTGATGTGAAGCAAGCAGTCGGCCTGGTGCTGGTGATCCTGCTTCTGTGCTCTGCTCCTCTGGGGACTGTGCTTGTTGCACGTCTCCATCCCGATCCCAGTGGCAACGCCTTGCGCCATGCCCAGCAGCCCCACTCCAGCAGTGGTGGGCAGCACTTAGAATCCCTTTTCATCGCTTAGAATCCAGCCACTCGACTCCTTTTGCCATTCCCCAGACTGGAGAACACCAACTACTCCTGCTCCCTGCACCCCGTAGCAGTGGTGTCAGAGGTAATAGGATTGGAGCAGCTCTCCTCAAATGTCAAGCCCAGACCTTGGCTACCTCAAGTAACCATGATCCCTAATCACATTTACAGCCCATCCAGCTCCATTTGAAATGTATTCCTTCTTTTTCCTTTTACTCCCATGGGAGGACCACTTAGCTAAGAAGGGAATGATTATTTTTTTTTTCACGTGGTCTGTGGGACAAACGAGGAGGAATGAAATGAAAGTGAGCAGAGGAGGATGTTGCCTGAATATTAGGAAACCTTTCTGACTGTGAGGTCTGTAAGGACTGGAAAAGCCTCTCCAAGGAAAACCTGTAAGCTCTGCTGCATGAATCATTTAAACTAAACAAAGTGGAGCTCTGGAGAATGTACTACAGAGAGGAGCAAAGCCCTGCCAAGGAGGCAGGGAAATCTGATAGGGGGCAGATATGGAAACAAAGGCAGTCCTGTCCCCTTCTCACTCTCACCTCCCAGGTGGGGGGCACTGTTTTGTGGCTCTTCAGTTTTTGGAATAGAGGTTTAGAAGAAAGCCCTGTATATTGCATGTGATATGTTTATTCTGGGTAGAAAGCAGTGCTTTGGGTAAAGGATGTTGCAGGTTATAAACCTTTTCATTTGTATCAAGTAATTTCTTTTTAATTCAGGCTTTTAAAAATCCGAATGGGAAGTTTCCTGCTGAAGTGGATGATTTCTGCAAGGAGACAAAAAAAAAAAAAAAAAAAAGAAAAAATCAAATCTATTTCTCGCTCAGTCGGCCTCGTCATGCATCCTTAGCTCCATCTTAATTACATGTTTCATCATGTTGTGCTGTTCAGGAGGCCCCGCTAGCGCTCATACAGCAAGCCAGCAGAGCCAGCCTTAGGCGCAGGCAGTCCTGGTAGCTGGCTGAGCTCCTGTGCGTGCAGGAGCCCTCCAGACCTGGCCCACGCAGCCTTGCCCCGCAGCCTGTTAGCTGCCCGCCAGCTGCTCAGGGCTCCTGGCCAGCCCAGCGTGCAGGGCAGGCGGCGCAGCCCCCTTTGGCAGAGCTGCAAGCAGCCTCGAATCGTCTGGTGCGTGTTATAGGGTCAAGCCTGCCCCGTGGAGCGGCTGCTGGGACTTGCTGGGGTGTGGGGCAGCAGAGATGGCACGGGGAGAGGAGGTGGGAGCTGCAAGGTGGGATGTAGAGGGGAATGGGGGAGAGAGGGGGAGAGCCCTGGGGTGGAGACCGTGCTTTGTGAGGTCCCTTGGTGTTAAACTTGGCGCTTGTTTTGTGGTTGTGGGGAAGGCGGAAATCTGTGGTTGGCACAGGGGTAAGATAAGGCAAGGGAATGGGATGGATGGGTGAGAAGAGACTTTGAGCGGTGAGATAAAGAGGATTAGGTAAAGGGATGGAAGGCCAGCACGTGCCAGATGTGCTATCCATGGGGGAAAGCAGATCAGAGTCCAGAAAAAAAGTCAGGGAGCTGCAGTGTTCCTGCAGGCCTGGATCCAGGAGCAGCAGGAGGCAGGACTGGGCATCAAAACAAGGGCTTCGAACGGGCTGGTGCAGCTCATTAAATGCTCTGTGCTGTCTTCCCTGGCAGCAGGGCGCTCCCCTGGCACAGAAAGGCTCCTAGCACAGCTCCTACAAAGCCCTTCTGCTGCATATCACCAGGAGCAAATGCCCTCCCCACCACCTCTTCCAGGCACCACGGGTTACCGTGGGGTCCTCGGGGTTGGGTGTCAGCTGTGAAAAACAGCTCGGGGCAGTAAAAAACCCTGCAGGGTGTGTGGGGGAGAGAGGAGAGCTGTGCTGCCATGCGTTATTGGGCCCCTTTGCCCTCCTGCAGCCCTGGAGCAGCTCATTGCGCTGGCCGGACCAAAATCTGTATTTTCCTCCATCTTCCCGCTCGGCTGCCTTGTTAATGAGCAGCTTGGAAATAACAATCCGAGGGCCTCGCTTCATCCGTTTTACACTTCAAACAGGCTTTTTTTTTTTTTTTTTTTTTCAGCAGCAAACAGAGCTCCTGCAGCGCAGGCGGGTTCCAGAGCACAGGAGCTTTTCGGGAAGGCATCTGGCAGCAGGGAGGAGAGGCCCGCGTGCCGCCGCGGTGCCAGTAGCAGGTGGTCAGTGGCCAAGTGGAAGGAGTTGATTTGCAAATGGCACTGGGAGACAGTGGCTTTCCAACTGGCCAGCAAAGGACGGGTGTTGTTAACAGCCCTCACGAGGAGAGGGCTTGCAGAGGGAGCGAGTCTCTTCTGGGGGATAAGCACCAAAAGGATGCTTCTGGCTTGCAAGTGGCTTTGGGACTGGAGCAGTGGAAGGCTGCCTGTCATGGCAAGGGGCACGGAGCCAGGCTGCTGGGAGCAGAGCACGCAGGACAAGGTCCTCACAGCCAGCACCACAAAGGGAATTGGAAATGAGGAAGGGGAAATGGGATTTTCTGCGTGCGCATGTGCACGCGCGAGTAGTTGGGGATGGCTGCTCGAGGCAGGTGGGCTGTTGGGAGCGGGCAGGTGAAACGCTCGGGCTGCTCCTGGAGGAGGAGTGGGGACGGGAGAGCCGTGTGGTGCTCCACTGCCCACAGCCCATCCTGTCCCAGTGCTTCTTCCAGCCCCATTCCCAAACGCTGCTCCTTTATCACCTCACCCTCTTCAAACCACGCTCTCACCGGCCACCACCCGAAAAGATGCTGAACATTTTGAGCTCCCGATGAAATGACCGGGGGCTGGGGTCAGACAACCACCAGCCCCAGACTCAACCCCCCGCACTTCGCTGGTCCCCTCGCTGTGCTGCAGGCGCCTCGCTGCCTCTGCAGTCTCTGCACTCCCACCATCTGCCCCTCTTGCGGCGGGAGCTCCTCCCATCCTCCCGTTGCCAGAGAAACAGCCACCTTGGCAACCTGCTGTCATCCCTGAAACACACATGGAAAAGTCCTCCTGATTGTTATGTTTGATCCTTCAGGCAGATCTGGAACATCACTCAAACTGACATGCATCTCTTGTGACACGATTACCTGCGGGACCAACGGGTGCAGACACATGTAGGATGTGTGTGTGTTTCTCTGCGTAGCCGTGCGGGACCGTGGATATGTCTGTGGGCCTGCAAGTGTATTGATTTTTTTTTATTATTATTATGCTTTGCTCACTCTACGGAGGAAGGAGAGTTCTGGCTTGGAAATAAAATAAAAAAAAAAAATCAAAACAAAAACAAACCAAACCAAACCCAGACAATAAATAGAAATGGTGCCTGATGTAAGGTTTCCTGTTTTCAACAGCCCTTGTGACCCAGAAGCCCAGCCTAGCCTCCCCTCTCACCCTTGTGTGCCCAGAACAACCAAAAGCAAGAGCTTTTTGGGCGTCAGGCACCTAAGCAGTCCTGGGCGATGCAGGGTGCTGCCTGTGCCCCGTGCTCCCCGTGGTGCTCAGTACCCACTCAGGAGGCAGAGGGGCCTTCGCTTTGCATTGCTGTGTCAGTCTGGAGTGGACAGAGGCAGGGGCATTGCCATTGTTCTCTCACTGCCTTGCACGGGGTAGGTAAGATTAAAAGCTGTCTGCGTCAGCCTGAAATAGGACCGTGATAAAGCTGAACCATAAAGATTTCAGGGGAAAATGGGTTTTCTTTTTGCACAAGTTCAGGGCAGGACCTTTGGCATTTTGCAGACATAAGGGGTTCCTCAGAAACGTCAGGCACGAGTTGGGGAACAACCCAGTGGGCCATTAGATGTGCTTAAACCCAAGCATTTTTTCTAACCCTCCTCTCTTCCCTTTGCAGTGCCTGAATTCGCAGCAAGTCGAGGTCTATTCTGTCCTCGAGAGCAACGCAAAGAACCCAGAACCCAGAAGGAAGCCTCCGGGGAAGGTAAGGGCTGGGGCAAAAAATCTTGGAGAGTTCCCTTACGCACTGGGCACATGGGAAGAGAAAACCCAGAGTCACCACAGCCCCAGCTGGCATTAAGTCTGTCTGCTATTTCCCCACTTCCAGCCCCACTGGAAGGGGAGAAGGGGACGTGGCATCCCCTCGCCAGCTGTGCTGCACGTGTGCTGTGTCTTCCCTCTTCCGGCACAGCCCCTGCTGCTGCCGCGTTACCGGTTCTGGCAGGCAGATGCTTTGCTGTGTGCCGTTCCCTGGAAGGTACCGAGATGTTTGGTGCTCCCTCTCAATGGGTTGGATGTTTGTGGAGAGTCGACCAGATGCTGTCCCCCACTATTGTCCCTTCCAGGTTGTTTCAGCAGCTACGAAGTCCCCCAGGGTAGAGGAATCCATGCGCTGGGGGCAGAGCCTGGGCACACCTCTGCTCTCGCTGGCATTAAGCACCTGAGAGCCATTTCCTGGTAACAGAAGCTGAGTTGGCCTGAAGAGAGGCAGGAAAAGGCAGCGTGGCTTTATTTTGGGCTTGGATCTTCTTGCTGGGCTGGGAGTTATGAGTTAGAGACAAGGAACCAAACCACCTGTAATGAAAGTAGCCACAACTGGGAATATGCAGGCACAGATCAATTGGGGGAGCCATATGGCATGGACCAGAGTCCCACGCAGCCCTGCACCCTGCCCTTGGCAAGCACCAACTGTTCCAGAGGGACAACGCTTGCATCAGGCACCCCAGTGAACGTTTCCTTCCTGTCCTCAGATCTCTGTTGTTCATTTGCCTTCCAGACCTCTTATCTACTTAAAAAATACGTTCACTCTTCTAACATTGGAAAACGTTCCTGAAAAATGTCCCCTTCTTCTCCCAGGGATGTCCCGCTGGGGAAAGTTCCCCTGGTTAACTACACAGGGTGCAGCACGGAGCCAGCTTCAGCTGGCACCGTCCCTCCCTTTTGGGAAGGACAGCATTTTTCAGTGTCTGAAGCACTTTCACAGCTCTCAGCTTTAGGAAAAGGTGGAATAAAATCAAGTGCCTTTTTCTACATCAGAGCTAACTGCAGAGTGTTCTGCTTCCGGAGCCCCTGGCATCCTGCACTTAGTGCTGCGGCTCCACAGCAGCGGTAGCAGAGGCAGGGGCAGGTACCTGATTACTGCAACTGACTGCTGAGGGGAAGGATGGTTTGTGATATATAGGCAGCCTTATGCTCCGGTGTGTAAGATGCACTGGAAAAGACAGCATCCCTGCTTTTGTGTTCTTGCTGCATTTTGAATTAGTTGGGTAGGAAGAAGAGTAAGTCCTGAGCCCCCTTCCCTGTCCTATTTATTCTTCTGTACACCTTTATCAGCTGCCCCCTTCTAAATGATTCAGTCTGGATGAGGAGATGCAGTGTCTGTGTTTGTTTTTCCCGTCGTGGTGTTGTCTGGGCTGTGCTGAATCACCTGTGTGTGGCCCACAGCACTCAGCTGCTGCTTTAGGGGTCAGCAGCCCTGAGGAACAGAGCAGGAACAAAGCAACAAAACAAGGGCAAAGAAGCGGCTGTGTGCAAGCGGGTCTGGCTCTTGTGGTCTCTGTGGGAGAAACAGAGGAGAAGAAAGCAAAGAGAGGTGCTGGGGTGGGCTCTCACGGGCACTGAGTGCGTGCCCAGTCCTTGTGCTGCTCAGAAGGCAGGGAGGTGTGAGCAGCAGGGCCCCACTGCTGCATCCCACCTTAGGGGGAGCAGAAAGGGGCTTCTGAAACAGCAGCCACTGCGGGGAGCACCCGAAATGGGAGTGTTTGTGAGCTGTCGGTGCACTGCCAGCCAGAATGGGTGGCGAGGGGTTAATTCTCCAGAGCCTGTGCGTGCCTGGAGGTGCCCTGCTCAGCTCTTGGAAAACGCTTCCCTTTGGTGGTGGCAGCAGAGAAAAAGCTAGCGTAGGTAGGGCTCCATTCACCCTCTGGCACTTCAGCTGCTTGCTGCGTAACCTTGCTTACAGCGGGCCTGTGCCACGCGGCGCTTCAAATATCAGTCTGTCAGCGCCTTGTCTGCACCGGGAGCGGCTGTGAGGAATAGGCTCGACTGTTGAAGAAACAGGATTGAGGAGGTCAGGGAATTCCTCCTTCACAGAATCCAGAGTGATTTATTTTTTTTTGCCGAGCCCAATTTTCCCTCCCCTCCCTGTCTGACAGCTTTCTGGGGGAAGAGTGACAACCAAAGGAGGCATCTTTATCCCTTGGGCTGGATTAGTCACGTTCGTCTCTGTCGGAGCAACATTGCTCAGTGTAGTGGCTTCCATTGCGGTGGATCACTTATAGCCATTTCCAACAGAGCAAACGTCAGTGTCTGCTGATTAAGAATTAATTCATCTTCTTTTGAATAATTTTCCTCCATTTCTTTTTCCTCCTTTTCATCATTCTGCAGACATCTGAGAAGCAAGGAACTCTAGAAGAATCCTGTGATACGCTGTATGAGAATATCTAACGGGGAAAAACTGACTCTGTGTGGACCAGACATCTTCCTGCACGACAGAACTACTTTCTGCATCCTCAGTTCTCTGCGAAGACCCACAGTGACTTCAGGGCACAGCCACGGGGGGACTTGTGAACCCCGGGCTCCCTCCAAACTGCCCTTCATTAACAACAGAATACAGCTGTTCAACTCCCACTGGGGCTCAGTCTGCATTGATGCAGTGAAGATATTTTGCAGCAAAGCTGTTTGATGCAAAAAGAAAAGCTGGTTTTTGTCAAGCACTCGTACGTATCTTAGACATGGTGCAGATGGGATCGGTGCATGTTTCTCTCACCTGGCCTGGTTGAAATATTTGAATCTTGATCCTCCGTAAGTGATAGCGTGATCCAGAGCCCTCCCTGCTTGCTGGCCTGATCTTCCAATCCTGACTTGCAGCAGTCCATCTGATCCTGTGTCAGCTTCCCTGACGCAGCCATCAGGCCTTCATGCATAGTTTAACTGAGATCCAAACGTCCACCTGCCCATTTTTCCCTTTCTCGGGAACCCCACAGTGAAACATGCTTTCTCATAATCTGCTAATCCCATCAAGTAGTCACAGATGCCTGCTGTGACCGAACTCAGCCGACTCAAATCAGTGCCTTGGAATAAATGCTTTCCCTTCAGCAATATCAGCAGTATATGGTGAGGAATGGATGCATGAACAGAGATAAAGATGGAAAAAAAAGGAAGCCAGGGAAAATATCCCTGCCTGGCACTGTGTCTCAGCGGCAGTGCCCGTTCCAGAACAAGGAAAAGGAACAAGGAGCTGGGAATCCCAGGAGAATGCCTTGTTGGGGCTGAATAGATCTGGGTCCGTGTTCCAGAGATGTTCAAGCCAAGCTCCCCAGTTTCCCCAGTTCTGAAATCTGTAACAACTGGAGTGAGGAGGGAGGTCTTAGAGATGAATTTTCTATTTAAGCTCCTCTCTCTCCTGTCAGCTGGGACTTGCCTGCCATTTGTGCTGATGGATATCCTAGTTCTGATAGGGAAGAAGTTACGTTAAATATCCATAAAACACGATCAAACCAGTGGATCAAAAAGCTGAGGCTGTTTTATCTCAGATTAAAAAAACAACAACAAAGTAACAACTAAACAAAACCAACCCAAAATAACAATACGTAGCATAACTTGAGAGGAATCAGAGAAACCTCTTTAAAGAAGAAGATCAAATTAAAACTGAGCTCCAGGGTCATAGGACCCTCTCTAGTTGAAGATAATGTTGCTATGCATCAGAGATAGAGGCTATGGAAAATGTCTCCGGGGCCTCCAACCTTCCTATACTATGTTTAAAGAGATAATCCGCTTATTGCTTTGCTCTTTTTATTAGAAGAGATTTCAAACATGCAATTTGGACTTTAACCACAGGAAAATGCTTTTTCTCTTCCCAGTGTTGAGGAATTCATTTCAGAAAGAGCAATGAATAGACAGCATGCCTTATTAGACCTGTCTTCCATTTGTTAAACGATCGTAATAATTATAAATAAATACTTCTGAACTCAACTATTTTAGTATTTACTAATGTGACCAGAAATGTAAACGAGGAGAAAACATTTGTCTTCATGGACAAAAAATTACAAGGATTGCACAGGTATAATATTTTCTTTCCTTACCGAATTTGAAGAATGATGAGATGAATTATAAATATGTTGCAGTATAGCGATAAAATATTCAGAAGAAGGTGGTGGATCAGACGAAGAATTGAAACTTTCAAAGTAACGCTGCTTGGTTTTTGTGTTTTGCTTTTTTAATTTGGTAAATACTAAAAACAATGGTTAGTACTAAAAATTTCCTGGCAGAGATCTCACTTTGCAGTGAATAGTTTTGTCTCGTCTTTCCGTTACCTTTCTAAGTAGCATTTCTTACATTTCTGGCTGAACAGCTCTATACATTAAGTAGCTGAAGCCGTTTAAAATGCAAGATAAGAAAAAATGGTCCTTGTTATATAGGGGCTGTTCTAGACCAGTCAGTGCTGAAGTACGGAACGAATCGCAACCGGTTGCGATCAATTAAGTGAAAAAGTTGAAATTTCCAAGAAGCACTGGGAAGGCTGGGGATTTGGGCTGTGCGCCAGCGCTCGTCAAAGTCACAGGGAGTTGCTGTATTGATTTCAAGGGGTTTTGGTTTGGCCCTGCAAGGCTACAAGGCTGCTGCACGAGGAGAAGGAAGGTTGGAAGCTACTCAGCCAGAAGCTAGAGCCGCTTCTTTGGCATCGTGCACCGTGGGCAGCAGCAGTGGCATCTGAGTTTGTGAGAGAGAAAGGTGTAAAGGAGAAGATTGTGAGAGAAGGGGTGTTTTTCAAGGCGATAAGAGTTTTCCAAGGAGGTATGAGGAAATGCCTTCAGGCACCAGTAGGAGAAAGTAGTAAATATAATTTATATAACATTGGTATAGCTATTTATAGCTGAGATTTGTTCAGGAGAAATAAAATAGAAAACGGGCATATGCTCTTTTTGTCTCACCTGGCTCTGTGGTCCCTGAGAAGAGATGCGGAAAATGAATGTTACTAGGAAGAGGAAAGGAGCTCATTTTTAAGTGTGGAGCAATATATATAATAAATAAAAGGAAGAAAAATTAACGATCAGCTCCCCCAGCTCCACACAGGACAGAGCTGAGGGCTGAGTTGTGTTTATTCCCAACATTTTGCCTGAAATTGAATGTTGAGAATGGATTCCTCTTTAAAACCACGTCCCTGGGGGCTGCAGCTCTGCTCGCTTCCCCCGGCATGGCGCAGAGCGCGCCGTCGGGTTACGGTGCTGTCATCTGTGATTCCCCGGCGCCGGGAACGCTAGGAGAAATTCTCCCTTGTATTGACAGGATTTCAGGCAAGCGGAGACACGTTATCAAAATAAACGGGGGTGCGAGGTGGGAATGCACCGTCTGCCTTGCGCTACAGGAGGTGCTGTGCCAGGTCCTTGCCCTCCCCACCCGGAGCAATCCCGCAGTCCTGAGGGCTGGATGCCATGTCTCACCCTGTCGCCTTAGCTGGCGTTGGTGGCACTGAGCTCATCCCATCCCTAAAACAATCCCTTCACACCGCTTTCCAGCCTTTGCCTTTTTGCCTTTGAGGAGGCGAAAAACCGAGCGCGTGTGAGTGTGTCAGTGGTTTCATCCTCTTCTGTAGAGGATGAACTTGCATGGGTTCTGCTCTGCAGCGTGAAGTACATCGCCTATATTTTGCCTTTTATCTGTAGACAAGAAAGAGCTCATTGTGGTGGGTAGCTACAATGAAATGCATGACCACGCTGTAGTCCTCTGTGTTCTCCTTCCTTGCTCCTGTCTCCTAATTGTCTTCTTTTCCCTCCTCGTGGGTATCACTGTCATTAATCATCTCTATGGCAATAGCGTCTCAAGACCTAGCTAGGGCTGAGCCTTACAAAAGGAGGCACTTCACTGAACAGCACCCAAAAAAAAAAGGTTATTACTGCTCTAGTTTGGGCCGCAGTCCCACCCAGCAGTGCCCAAAGGGTGTGCGAGTCTGGGCCAAGGGTAGGGGTCCCTCTGTCCTGCTGGGCGGTCTCCTGGGAGGACCTGGTGTGCCTTCAGCCCTTGGCCACGCAACACCGTGACCCTGCGCATCGGGGATTTAGGGAAGGCGGTGAGTGAAGCCACCAGATGGTGCCCTAGGTCCTCTCTGCTCCCTCTGCTGTCCCCTGCCTGCCCACGTCCCCCTGGCAGCCCCCAGACCACAGCCCCCCAGGGCGGGCACCTCCAGCCACGCAGGACAGCCCCCGCCACGACTGCCTCCTGCCTATGCAGCGGGTGCCCGAGACCCCACAGCTCTGCGCCACGGCCCAGGTGCCACCAGCACCCGTGGGGACATGGGGACAGGACCTTCCCCTCCTCTGAATCCATGAAGTCTGGAGGAACGACTTCACCGGGTATCCACGTGTCCAAACACAACGTTGGCCAGGTGTTGGGGCCGCTTCGAGTTGCCACCACTTTTTTCACCATTTTGGGAGGGACATCTGATCCTGGGTTTGGGAAAATGTAAGGCGTGTCCATGGGAAAAAGAAAAAAATAAAAATAAAATAATGAAAATAAATCCATCACAACTTATGCTGGTTCTCTCTGCTTTGTCAGGAAAATGCTGAAGGCTCCTGAGCCTGGTCAGGCTGCATGGCTGCTACAGGTAACCCCACACCTGCTCTGCCCCATGCCTGCGGGGAGGCTTTGTCTCCACCAGCCCACAAACCTCTCCTGGAGCTCCACTTTTCCTTCTGAAGTACATGGCTCATGTTTTGTAGCTCGGCCACGCGAAGATTTGGTAGGGCCAGGCAGATGGGCTGTAAGCAACCAGAACGTACTGACCCCAATGGGAACGGGGTGAATGGGGAAAGCCAACATATGGGCTCCTCCACAACACCGTGACTCTTGGTAACCAGTGTGGGCCTCTGTTCTGTCCCATCTGGAAGACCAGTCAGCCTACAATTTTAGGCGCTTCCAGGGGTAATAATTGTACCCCAAATACCTGCACTGCAGCCGTGAGGGAATTAGCCCTGTACCGCTGCCAGCAGCGCTTTACACTGACATGTGCCATTAAAACCAATGATTTCAAGAGTCCTTGCAAGGCTCCATAGGGTATTTCAGCTTCATGCACGAAGAAATGGAGACTCAGGAGGTTAAATGACTTCTCCGAAATTGCAGAGGGTCAGAGGTAAAGCTGGGAGCAAGGTTCAGCTTCCTACATTCTTACATCAGGTCGTCCAGGTGGGAGCCAGTAGCTGGGTAAACAGGAGCTGCTGAGCTCCCTTTAATTTTACAAAATAGGGGAAAGAATAAAAATAAAAAGTTTCCTTCTGAGCCTCTACCACCAGTTTCTGCAGCACTTTGCTCTTCCCTTGTGGTTTCTCACGCAGGTATTGATCAGCCCCCCCCCTGCCTGGCCGAGGTCTCCACGCGGCAGGACGAGGTGCTGCTCTCTTTGGGGAGCCACCCACCATTTGGCAGTAAGGGGAGCTCGTAACAGCCAAACCACCACGGAAAGCCCAATTACTTATGCTGTAATTCCCCAAATAAATGTTTATGGAGGGAATGTGATGAATTACTGCACGTCCACCCCATAAAGTCTTGTTGACTGCTGAAGAAGCTCCCGAGCTTGTCGAGAGGGCTTAGGGAAGGAAGAGAAATGGCTGCAGCTGCTCGCAGAGGTGCTCTGCGCCTGGGCGAAGGGACGGCAGGGCTGTCCTCACCGCCCCAACGCCGAGCTCCCGGAGCAGGAGGCGCGAGGAGAAGCAGCCCCGGTCCTTAGGTGATGAATGGGAATGCTTGCCATTCTTTTCAACACTCCAAAGGAAACCGCAGGCTCGATGTGATGCAATTCCTGCCCGGTTGGGTTGTTTATTCACACGGGGCTGCGCTGCGCTCGCACGTGGGGAAGAGAAAGTAAAAGTTCAGCTCGGCTTCAGCTCCCTTGGGATTTCTGCGCGCTTTCAGGCTCATTCAGGTCAAGGCAGGGTGTGAGTCTGGAGTACGGCAGCTCTGGGGAATGGCTCTCTGTGCTCACCAGCTCTGCTGAGTAATGCGCAGAACGCAGGTGTGGGTTTTGAAGAAATCGGTTTAATAAAGGAGCTGTAACTCTTCTCCTCCTCCCCAGAAGATTTAAAATAATCTCGCTGTCCATAAAAACCAGGTTAGCTATTTTGGGTTCACGCGGAGCTAAAATGAATGCAGCAACTCTCCTGATAAGTCACTGGGTATCAATTCTTAATTGCTTGATTAATCTCGAATTTCCAGAGCTGACACTGCCAGTCCTAACACTCGACAAAAGCTACGTTTAAAGAAGAAAACACTTCCCTCTTTTGATTAAAAGCAAAAACACAAAAGCCAACCCCGCAAGTAAGTGCATGAAATTACAGAGAGGCTTGTAGCATATGTTGTCCAGAGGAAGACGGGCCATTAGGCAGAGTGCAAGTGAAACAGTCAGAGGTCCGCGATACACTGGGGGGGTGATGAATTCATTTCGGCGTATGCTTCAGCAACTCATTACGAGGCTATCTCAAGCCCAAATATTAGCGAGCTTGTATTTGCTGTATGCTTGTGTGTGCTAGGCCATGTTATTCATTTCAGTAATAAGTAGAGAGGTTTCCTTCACGGGGATTGTGACATTTCTATGTATAGAAAAGCTGTTTAATGTCAACAGTTACGGAAGGCTATACCATTGTGTGCTTTGTGTACGGCTGGACTGATAATTACCGCTGCACATACCTCCCTAAGGGTGTTGTTAAAAAATACAGGCCCAGCAAGGGAAAACATTCAAACCCATTACGGAACATTTATAAAATTGTCTGGGCTTTTCTTTTTCTTTTTTTTTTTTTTTCAGCAACGTGTGCGTGGTACATTCGGGATGGATGGCATTGCGGCGTGTCAGCCCTGCTTGGGAGCGACGGACTGTGCCGTCGGGTTCCTGCGATGCCACAACGTGATATAAAGGTGGCATGGGTGCAAGGCCAAGTTGGCTTTCCTACTGTGTTAGAAAAAGGACTTGCTTTGATCTCATTACTCTAATTAAGGAATAATAAAGCCTCTGATTTTTATTTTTATTTTCTCACTTCAATTAACTGCTGTCTCTGGGTGACACAGACTTTTTGGAAGAGGTGAGTGCTGCCCAGGACAACAACTCAAAGGCCTGTGTAACCCAAGAGAAGGTCATGATGACAATATTAAAACACAGGAGTGGTGGCACTGCTGTCCTTACCAGATGATGAGCCAGTGACATCTACAGAAAATCCCAGTGCTAAAAGGGAAAAAGTCCGAAGGAACAAACATCCCCTGGACCCCTGTGAATACAGCACTCCTTCCGTGGTCACCTGCTGGAATTTAGCGTGGTTATCTTGGTCTTCAAATATCTCCAGCAATGGAGTAGAAAGGGAAAGTTTCCACAATGCTCAGGGCTGGGACCTATTGCTCGGCAGATGTCCCAGTCAGCGAGCAGCTAGACGGGCAGAGATGGGACATCCCAGGGGCATAGCGTCCTCATCTAATCCCTCCCTGCAGTCGCTGTTTCTTGATTGTCTTCTGTGACTCAGGTGATGGGAGCTCCTCTGAGAGGCTGCCTTGCAGATTAATGATTCCTTTGCTTCGTTTCATTTACATTGATATAAGCAGCCTTCCTCGCTCCCTGGTGCTTCTGCACCCTTGAAGTTCTCGCACACAAATCCCGTGATGCTCTTCACAGTTGTTATTTGGCCAACCTACACACACTGTAATCCCTTCCAGCTTTTTTATCATTTTATGTTCCTCTTTTTTTTTTTTATTTCCCTCCAAGTTGTTGACATCTAGCTAGCACTGAGCTGTCCAGAACTAAACATGTCTTCAAACTGCGGTCTCGCCACTATATTAAAAAATGGGACTATTGCCTATATCTCTGAGAAGAGGTCTCTGCCTTTACAACCCCAAATTAAATTAACTGCATGATTTTTGCTGCCGTATCACATTGCAAAA